CGCTCTCAAGCTGCGAGAGCACAAAAATTTATCTCTCTCCATGAGACGCGGCAATAATTCAGCTCTGATTTGTGCCAAAACGAATATCATTTTGCAAAAGACAAAGGGACTTTTTAAAGTATAAAAAAAGCGATTCTGACCGTGTCAGGGTTTTTTGCCATTTTAAAAGTCAAAATAGAACAATTTAGGAACTTATTAAATCTTTTATTAGGGAATTTGAGATAAAATAGGTGAATATTTGGCATTTGATTTCAATAATAAAAAATTTCAAGGACTAAAGGTAAATTCACAAATTTTATTTCTAGAGAAACTTTGAAACGAAATGCCCCAAAAGTTTGATTACGCAGACCTTGCCCTGGCCTTTCCTTAATTATCACCAAAAGGAAATGGAAGAAGCGATAAAAGGCCCGCAGCGACCGGGTTTTAATTATTTAAAAGGTGGCCAGCATGTCTGTTATCTCAAGTAGATTAAAAATCAATTACAAAAGTAACCATATAATCAATTATTTCCATAGTGAAAAACAATATAACTTCAATAAAATATAAATAAAAAAATCAGTATATTCAAAATAATTATATCAATTGTGGTTTTACACACCGCACCTCTCAAAGGTTCCCGCGGGGGACCGTTTGAACCCCTGCTGCTCGAAGTACTATGCTCTCAATTAATTCAATAGGAGCAAGATTTACAATTTTTTTTTATTTTATTTATATTTGCGCTCAAAGTTTGGTAAAACTCGATGTCTGTGGCAGAGATAGAAGAGCCCTTTGCTGGTGTGTTATTATTCCAACCAGCTCTTATCTCGTCGCAACACAATAGATAATAAAGCAGCGGGGATACAAATAATAGCGCCCAGATAGGGCAGCCGCGCAGCTCTAGGCAGGCGTCGCGCGCGCGCTCTCTCTCACTTGCACCACCATTAGATAAATCAGAACGCCCTGTTTAGCGTCAATAATGGAATGTCTGCATTTTGATTGACCACGAATTACATGTACCATTTGGACGAATCGGCATCGAATTCCGTAAAATTCGATTAGAGTCGAATAAAACGTGAAAATCAATGGTTGCCATGAGCTTTGGAAAATTTCATTTTTTATTTTTTAAATTTCACTCATAGACAGAAAAAACGCGTCTTTTTTCAGGGACCAGCAACATTAGATATGAGGTTAACATATTGCAAAAAAGTTAAAAATTCTGTATCCCATTATTATAAAAAAATAAACTTAACTTTATAAAAATTAAAATAGCCTCGTCTTTAAAATCTAAAAGTGATTGGATTGGATTGAGAATATTCAAATACATGAAAGAAAAGACGATAGCTTGTTAGGGCAACGTGAAATATTTTTGAAAAAAAAACCTGCTTCTGAAGAATTCAGGTTGGAAATCTTTCCGATTTTATCCAATTTTCTTTTTTTAATCATGTTCAGGATTTGATTTCAATTCCAATTATTACTCGATGTATCTTTTTCGCAATTTTCCAAACGAAAGCCCACGAATGCATAAATCAATCAATATAGAGCCCTCCAGAAATAAGCCAGTACAGAGCAGGCAGTGGCGGCGGGAAAGGCGAAACTCGGCCAATCCGCCAAATTAGCCCGCTCCCAGGAGAGAAGCCGTGCCATAATACATTACCCTGCAGAGAAATGCGATATGTGGAGCCGCATACATACACATACAGCTCTGAATAATGCGCGAGAGCAACTCTGGGAATAAATGAGAAAGGGGGAGCACCGTTGCTGCTGCTGCTGCGATTCCGCAATGGGCAATAACTCATGTTAATTTATAATCAATGGTCAGTGATTACAATATAATAAATTAATGGTGTCTGACGTATTAAACCTATAATTTATCCCCTACACTCACACACTCGGCCAGACAGACAAACATAAATAATCCTCCAACAGAGTCCCGATTCAAACTTTTTTCTTCTCTGGCTTGGGGCGAGATTCTGGTACGGCATAGAGCACCGCGTATCAGAACCGATCTGCCGGTCCGCCCTTTATGCAAAACTTGTAATTATTGCAGAGAAAAAAATTGCGGACGAATCTTCCATCTGCACTCGGGGGCGTCGTTAATTTGGCACAGGCGAATCTGTCCGCGTTTCAGGCAGCAAAAATTTATCAAATTTCATATACGTGCCTGCCCCAAGCATTAATTTTTATCTCAATTCTTTTCAGTCGAAGAGTCTCCACATTTAATCCTCAATAATAACGCAAATAAGGGCCAAGAAATTGCAATTAAATTAAATTTTTAACATTCAATCAGGTTGCGACTGTAACATTTTTATTCCTCTCATTATAAGAAATTAGTTTGATTTAAAATAATAAGAAGAAACAAATTGATAATTTTTTCTTTTCTTCATTTCCAATTACAAAAAATAAATCATCAATTTCACGTCAGTTCCTCTTGAAGATAATTTGCAAAACACGAGTTTCCACTCAAAAATTGAAACGCCAGACGAAATTTTGTTTTGAAGCTCTGCACTTGACCTAAAGGAAGAATATTTTTTTCGAGTCTTGGCGGCTGATTGTTGCGTGCAAATGAAGTGGATCGGAGCATCAAGCGCAAGAATTACCGCCGCCGCAACCGTAAGTAAGTACAATTGACAATGGGACACAAAAAAGCAGTTTGGAGGAAGAAAACACGTGAATGGCCTCGGGCAAGCGGCTCTGTGTGAATGTAGGTATCCCTCTCTCCAGCCAGTCCGCCAAGATGGCCATTGTGGCACCTCTATAGGAGTTGAGAGCGGCCGGCGTCGCCCCCACGACCAAGACACACGGACAGACCACCAAATTCTAATTAAATTATCCGCACGCCTACCCACGCCGACATTGATTAGGCCAATGATTCAATCAGCAACAAAAGCGAGAGAGTGTTTATTCAAATAAGTCTCAGGCTGCCAAATGCATATCTATTAACATTATTTTTATAATCATTTTAAGTTTAAAAAGTCATGTTTCTTTAACTAGTTAGGATTTCCCAAAGTAGAAGTTTCTTTTTTTAGAAGTTAATCTAGAGTTATCTTTAAGAGATTAGGACTGGATTTGGAAGGAAATTTAGCCGGTGTTCATTAAAAGTGTAGTATTTTGCCTGCGGTTCGCACATATATTATCAATCCATACGCTTTGTTTAATTACTGCTGCGGTTTTTCCCTTAATCCCGGACCGAAAGCTAACCGAATTAATGTGTGCACACACAGGCAAACACAAATTCAATCCAATTACTGCAGTTATTTGTAGAATGCCGCTCGGCATTATTTTTAAATTAATTGAAATTCTAATTGCTTTTTTAATTAAGTTGGCATACTTCATTCCGTACCTACCAACCAGCTGATTGCCATCGCACGACTTTATAATATTATACAAATTCTCATTAGCGGTGTGATTAAAAATTAAATTACACATCACACAAGAAAAAAAGCAATCATTTTTTCCACGCCGTTTAATTAGGCGGGGGTGAACCGCTCGTTTTTGAAGTAACAAACTGATTGATGATCAAATTGTATTAAGGAAAAATATTAAATCAAAATAGAGAGACTAATAGAATATTCTCCTTTTTCGACGCGGCGTGGGATAAAACCGTTTCTGAGAAAAAACTACTACGCTGCACCCCTCGCATATGGGAGCAGGTGGAAGCCCAGATGTAAATCAGAAAATAATCAGCAGCCCTCACTACAAAACGCGGCATTAGAAAAGAAAACCAGCAATATACAAAACGTCGCGCGACCCTCAAGTCTGATGTGGCGGTGCTTCAGATAAAATACAGAGACGGAATTACATGCGAAAATAAAACTATAAAAGTTGGCAAGAAAAAGCTCAATGGTGCTGAATGATTTTAAAATAAATTTGGAAAAGTATTCAGTATGGAAGTATTCTGTTTCAAAATATAAACTAAATTATATAATATCAATGCAGGCAAAGTAGGCAATAGTCTTGACACCTGGGTCCTTTGTGTTGCATACTCAAATTTTACTCAAGTATCGTTTCTAATGGAAATATGAAATTTCTTGCAGAGTCCAGAATTAGAAAATTCCGCGAGTGACAAACACGTGTTAATGTACAGTTAGAGGCGAGCGTGCTGGAGCAGCTCTGAGCGAGGCACAATGGCGCAAACAAACGAAGGAGGAGGATGATGATGATGACAATATACATTCATTTCGCTCACGCCCGTCCTTTAATTAAATTCTACAGCTAAGCCATTATGCTAATAGTTTGTATTTTTTAATGAGAGAAGAGCTGGCTGGCGCGAGAGCCATTATTGGTTTCCTTTCAAGATTAAACTCTCTAGGGCGGCCGACAAAGTAATGAGTTTTCAAGAGTGATTTATCGTAATTAAAAGTAAATAGCAATTACGGTGTCAACTCGTCGCAGGCGCCAAATAAGTTAGGAGGTCAGGTGTTGCAGCAACGCAAATTGGCGAGATGAATTTCATTTTTCTCGTGTGTATCTCATGATTTTCCTCGTCTGGAGGCGGACTTATTTTTTCTCAAGTGGAAACTGCAGGGGCTCTCGAATGTCTTTGTTTGTTTACTGGAGTGAGTTTTTATTGCAGTACCACCGCGAGTTAGTTGACCTTCAGAAATCTCTCTTTTTTCGTTCCACTCTTTTCTAAATATACCCCCTTTATGGCTCGAAAAATAATATAAAACTTCCCCCTAGCCGCGCTCGGCTGCTGCACGCCGCCGCGCCAAGCGCACACTGGCTTTGCTTCTAGCCCCGTCCGTGTGCTCCGGTTCGACCCGACGACCAAACTAGGCCCTTCTCGTAGCGCAGACGATTTTAATTTCGCGTCGGCACGCTGCAGGAATTCAATTAGAGGCCCGAAATGACGCATCGCCTCCAATTAACAACTTTTTAATTAAGCGCGGGTCGCGCAATATGACAGTCACATGGGCATGGTCGGTCCTTTCGATTTTAGGCAAAGGACCAAAATGTCCCCGAAACACTATTTTGGCTGAAATGATAACGGAGGAAGCCCTAGCAAGGGTGGCAGGACTCACCTAAGATCAACCCGAGAGGGTTGTCGGGGTTGTTGCCGAGCGGCGCAAGCGTTCGTTCACTTTTGAAGTTCGCACCGTGAAACGTTCTGCGACTGTCCAAGGGCACTATGTTTTCACGATCCGCAGGTGCCGACGGGCGTCGAATTGCCGAATGTGAGTAGCCGGTGGCGAGGACACGGACGCACGTCTTGCCTGCGCGAGACACACACAGCGACTGCTGGGAAATTGTTGATGGAAATCGACTGGGTCTGGCTGCTGGCGAAAGAGCGGCGCAGACCGCGGCGGCACCGCGAGAGGGGAACCAGCGACGCGGCCGATGTGCGCGCCGAGCTAGGGGAAAAGTGGTCCTGAAAACTGGTCAAATAAGCACGCCGCGCGCGCAATAATATGTACATACACGCCAACTATCTCCATCGGCCGATTAAACGCAGTACTAAGCACGCAACCCCCACAACTTCGATTCCGTTCAACTTAGCCATTGCTCAACTTTATCAATTATTTGTAAAGAGGTAATGATTTGGATTCTTGTCAAAATAAAATAAATAAAAATATTCCAAAACAAATTAAAAAAGCAAAAAAAGCTTCAATTAGAAAATTTGTGTATATAAAAAAGTGACTCCATTCCGTTCCGCTTCGTTCATTGCTTTCAACCTACACTGATAACTAATAGTAGTTTTTTTCCTAAAAAAAAAAATTGGAGTGAATTGATTTTTAATTCTTTAATTTTTTTTTTTTTTTAATTAGAGAAATCACCCAATTTCAATAACATTTTTTATTCTTCGAGAGCTGTAACTTTAAAAAAATTGTATTCAAAACAAACAAATGGAGAGTGTGGGACGGCACGGAGGAAAAGTTCACACAGGCCACACTTACTTCTCTTGTGGCGGGGTATAATGTGTATAATTAAGAGTGACGTCAGTGCAGGTCGCGCATTGTTTTTGAGGCATATACAGGCGTTATTATGGGCGGCGCAAAACACGATCATACACCTTGCTTGCCTTACCTGCGCGAGAGGATTATCAACGCGTACATATATAATGACGCAGGAATGTGAATTTTTCTCCGCGGTGGGAGTGCAGCATGAGAATGAGTCGAAAAAAAATCAGAAAAAAAGAAAGAAAAGTATACGTGTATATTCATATGCGCGCAGATAATGACCGGTCTGATAGTCATCTTAAGTACGCCTCTTGATGGATGTATTGGAAAGAGAAAATTATAGAGGTACCCCTTTTGTGTGTGCCAGTATTGCTCGAGGCAAAAGTGTGAGCCTGTTGTGCACATGCAGCCAGACCAGATGGAAAAAGATCATGCGTTGGCCTTGTCGTCGCTTTTGGTGGTACAAGACTGAGCAGAATTGCAATCTTTTTCTAAATTAAATTTCTGCAGAGCAGTCAATAAATGGCAAAAGCAAAATAAATTAAAAAAGTTATTAATTCCTCTAATTGTATTTTCTTTTAATTAAAAGTATTATAAAAACTCTGCCTTTTGAATATAACAAAATTGACATTTAAAAAAGAATAATTCGGAAATTTTAATTTAGGCTCTTTGATTTTCCCCAAAACTAATTCAGGCTATGCATTTATGCAATTGCTTGAACACAAAGGCCAAACGAGATGCCTACTTTACAATTTTTGTCACCTTCCTCTTGCTCAATGTGTTCATTTACAGGCAATAATTAATTCATGCTTTTGTTCTGATATAAATTTCATCCTGCTCAAAAGTAGAGGGATATATTTATTCTTTCCTAAAAACTCTCATAAAATGAATTTTTTTTTATAAGGTACCTATATCCACCATTTTCCTCTCATGAAAATTATTTTTAAAAACCTTGATTATTTTTATTGCGGCTGCTGCAGGATTTAAATTTCACAACTTTCTATAAGATTTTGATTAATTTGGAAATAAATTTTACTAAATATAAGACGTTAATTTTTTATTTTTTTGGAACTTATCAGAAACTAAAAAAATTTCCAGCAAAATTATTTCATTGCATATAAAAAGGTTTGTCTTTAGTAAAATTGTCTTTACTTCCCTTATTCCTTACTTATAAATAGTAAAATATCTGTAATTATTAATACAAAATATTATATTATACAAAATATAAAAACAAATGCGATCAATAAATATAATTTCAAATTTTAAATAAATTAATTTTGATTGCATCGCTTTTTTAACATACCAAACTTCTGAGTTTGAAGAGATCTTTCTCCCTTTCAAGCTGAATCTAATCCCTAATCATGAAACTTTTTGAACAAAACATCGCCCTCGATAAAATTTAATTGATAGTATTAATTGCATGTCTGTAATGAGCAAAGTTTTTAATTAAAAGTGCTGGAGGAGAGATCGAGGCAAAAGCTCTTTGGGAAATTCGCAGCAATTTTTCGCTGCTTGCAGAGTGAAACGTCGGTTGGGCCTCTCTGTGAAAAGTGCACTTGCTTTAATAAAAGCTGCCTTCCGAGTGATTACTCATTCCCATCTTGAATGAGTTGCAGCCAGAGAGAGAGAGAGGCACGGCCAACACCCACTCCATTCCAGTAATTACTCCGGCTCGCAAAGTGACAAACGCGCGCGCGGCTGCGGCGGATTCTTCCCGTCCGTCCGTTCATTCGTCCAGCGAAAGAGGAAATTTTTAATCAAGGAGTTCATTAAGCTGCCCTGCTACATGCAAAGAGACTTTTCAACACATTTTGATTGGTGCCAGCTCAAAGCGCGCACTTTAATCACGAGATGGACTCGGTCAAGCACACTTTTGATTCATCGAAATTAATTAACCCGACCGCCAATTAATTTGGAAATAGGAAGAGGTTAGGCAACCGGTCGGGTCTGTTTGCAGAGCTGTTTGCCTACGCACTAGTCGGAAGAAAAAATGAGCTTTTGAAAGAATTAAGGCTTGTTAAGTCCATCACAGCTTATTACCGCGCTCCGTGAATGTGCCGTCGCTCACTCGCTAAATACGCCTTTTCACCGCCAACAGAAAAAGCATACGTGGAAAGAATAATGCTCTCAGCGCTGTAAAAGCCGCGTTCAAACTGTACTGAACGTCACAACACTACCGTGAAAGCGGCGAGTTTTAAATTGAGTTTTATATAAAGAGATCTGAGACCTTAAACCTTAAACAAAATATATCTCCGCTAGATTGAGTCTGATGAAAAAAATTCAAAAATTTCCGTGTGAAAAAAATAGAAGCTACAAAAAACTTTCGAAATAATTTTCAATTTTTTCCTGGATTTTGTAAATTGTTCTATACTTTTTAAATTTGTTAAATTTCAAATTGATTTCGTCGCAAATTAACTTGGAGGTCCTTAGATATTTATCAGAACTCAGGAGTAACATTTGTTAAAAATAATTACTTTGCAAATTATCATATTTATAGATTTAAAACAGGCAAAATCTTAATTTTTGTAACTTAGAATAATTGTTGATTTGAACAATATATCGGCTAAATAATAAATCCAGATTAGTGCTTAAGAGTAAAAATTGAATTTAAATTAAATTTATGGCAATATTCAAAAACAAATTCTATTAATCAATAAAAATGAAACATTTTTATTAGTCTAAAAATCTGGAAAAAGTTTTTTTTTCTTTGGACAAAATTTATTACATTTCAAATTTAAATAAACACAAGTTGTGTAGATTTAAAAAACAAAAAGATTGTGAATATTAGGCTAAAACATCAATTTTGATGTAAATTTTAGATTTCAAGCATTCTCAGTGAATTTATTTAGTTCAGAATTATTTCATAAATTTAAAATAATTTCATGAATTCATAAAAAAAAAATCCACGGAAATTCAGGCGAAATTTGAATCACCACACTTTTTTTAAATATCTGATAGCAATGAGGAACTAATTAAATGAAAAGAATTGCAGGCAGGCACGCTTTCTCCTTCAGGCTCATCGAGCCCTGAAATGACCTTTTTTTAAATAAATTGTTTAAATCAATGTATTTGTAATAATGTGGCCAAATAAAAAAAAAGCAATAATAATAAAAAATTATTAGGTTTAATGTTGTTTACATTAATGTTATTATGCCGAATTTTAAGAGTGAAAGTGCTTTTTTTATTAAAAAAAAAAAAAAACGGTTGTTTATTCCCGGCATCCTGATAAAACAATACAACTATTCAACGTTCAGTTGAAAGTACACTGAAACTAAAATCAATCTTTGATGAACTATGACAGTGGGTTATCTGCACAGTTTGACGGTAATTTTGGAAAACGACAGCAGCAGGGCGTGCATTAAATATTTAATTAGAAAGGATTTGGCGTGCGTGTGTTCTTTCGGCCTCGTTCATCCTGTTAAGAATTCACGCGTTGGGGAAAACGGCGGGACGATAATTATTTTCTCTTGCCCGGTTTATTAAACACAAAAATGAGTTGGCAGAGGCGAGAATTAAATTTGAATCGTGGCGAAGTAAAAAGGTAATCCCACGAGCCGTAAGAGCGGTCGCGTTGTGCAAAAGAGAGAGAGACTTATTCTTTCATTTATGGAACACTCGGCCGAGTGACCACCGCAGAACAAGCCGCCGCCGCCGAGCGATTATTAAAATAAAGCTCCCCAACTGCAGACCCACGTCCAGCAGCGCAAACGTTTCATATTATTTTCCCCCTTTTTCGCGCAAAAACTGCTGCTCGAGAGAGAGAAAGGCTTTTTGCGCCTCTCCGAAAACGACGGAGTTGGAGATTATTATATGGAAATTATTTCCACTACGGTCCGCGAATGCACTCGTTGAATTATCACGATTTGCATTTCTGGCGCCGACCGTTTTGCATCTCTTTGTCGCACACAGCAATTTTTGCTCCGAATCAACCAAATGCAGCCCGCAGTCATAAAATTTATAGAACAAAAATACATGTCATCGGCTTTGAAGTATGCACTAGAACAAAAAACATATTAAAACAAAAAATAATAATAATAAGTAGGCGCTAAATAAGTGTGTTTTGTTGAAAAAAAAAAATGTAAAACCGCGATTTGTAATTAAAGGACCTTAGGTAAATATAATTTTTTTTACAGATTGCTACAGAATATCATTTTAAAAATAATAATTATACTTATTTAAAATCAAGACGCTTGATAAGCCTCACAGTGTTATCACATAATATAAATTTATTATGATAAGACGCAAGTCTAAAAAAGGCAAGAACGAGCAAAGAAAAAGTTACAAGGATTGGGAAAGCAAAGAATGATTAAGCTTGATCTTTGCAATGGTGCTGTGGTTTCCCCTCGAGATGTGATGAATATAAAGGTTATATTTTCCTTATATGATTTCAGAGAAATTAGAGCCGATTAGGGGCTATAGATGCAAATTCATAAATATTTTTAAAAAAAAATTGTAGATTTTTCTAAATCAAAACATATTAAAGTCCAGTAAAAGTTAAACAAAATTCATTTATACATCATGTATCCAAATTGACTGTGAAAAACTTTAAATTGAGGTGGGAAAAAAGAAGAAAAAAATATCAAATGTTTGTAATAGTGAATTTCTCTCTTAGCAACAGTGACGAGTAGCAGAATTGTTCAACATTCTGCAAGGTACACGTCACGTACGTTTGAATATAAAAGTGCAAAATAAAGAAGCACTCGGAGAGAGAAAAACACGATATCGAGAGCGTTTTGACAGCGCGCGCGTTTATACATTATTGGCGAGGGCCAAATGGCCCTGGCTGCACACAAAACACACGCGCATCACTCTCATGTTCAACTGCAGCATCCCCGAGGAGCAGCAACTTGATAACGTGTTATCATTAATTCACCTGCCGCGGGACGTGCCCGTCTTGCTCTGTCCATCAAAAATGGAATTGCTGTCACGCCTCGTGCTGACACACACGTGCACCCTCACTTTTTTGCCCATGGTGAAAAAGTGCCAAAAATTTACCAACCATTTAACATCAAAGCACTGAATTAAATTTAATAACTGATAATTCTGTCTGTAACATTTGTAAAATAATTTTAAACCAGTGAAACACGTAACATCGTCATCAATTTTTATTCATTCTCTCTAAAATGAATTTATGTCATTCCTGATTTATAATGTAATAACGTTTCAGAAAAGCCTAAATTTATAAATAATATGTATACTTTTAAAAGAGGGTCTTTTATTTCAATATCAATATTTAATTTAGTGCATAACGTAGTGCTTTCATTATAAGATCATATTATGTTGAACTTATCGCAGGAGTTAAAAAACCTTTTTGCTTAGGACGTGACTTTCCTAAGAACAACGACTGTGTTTCATTTGAAACCAAACAATAGAGTCTAGCGTTTTAGTTCCAAAAGATTTCAAAATCCAAAGTTGCAAGACACAAAAAATTGCTTTTCTTGAGATGTTCCTTACTGCTTTTAAGATTGTATGTAAAATTACTATCAATAATAAAACTTGTTTAATTTTGTAGAAAATCTGTAAGTGTATAGAAAGAAAACTATTATAATTGCTTGAGAATAGATAATTATAAATTCTTCTCCATTTGTAAAGTGAATTTTTGCACTATATTTTTCAGCTGCTGCTTTAATTTTTTTTTTTTTAATTTTCTTACAAATATTTTCGTTTGTTTTGGCAGAAACAAAGTTTGCTTAATTTCAAATCACTTTTCAGTCATTTGGATAAGGTAAGTCAAGTACTGATTATTATTTGAATTGAGGTTTAGTCCTGCTCTATTTTTATTCTCAATTCCAGTGTGTTTGTCATTGCAAGCTACAGAGGGCGGACCATCCGTCTGAATAATAAATGACCGCTGCGAGTCTCTTTACACTCTTCTGCCACACTTGATGCCATAAATGCCCTTTCATTAATCTAATTCCAGTGTAGCAGGACAAACCGCCCGACTACATCGACCATTTTGAAATAAAATTGGGAAAAGGAGTTTTTATTTATTTTTCGAAAACATCAAACGTGGCGATCCCAATTAGAAGCGAGTTTTTATTTCCAAGTCTAAATGACAAAAAGCCACTTTCTTGATTGCGCGAATGAACCGAGCCGGCAGTTGGTTGGGCAAACACGCAATTATTCTCTCGCTCGTTTGATATCGTTTGTGCTGATAATTATACGCGAGAGCGCAAAGCAAAAGATCTCGCAATTAGCAAAAACGCACCGCCCGAGATAAGCAAATATGATGATCAAGGCAAATATATAAAAAATGGACCATTCTCCGCACCGACACTAATTGGTGCAAATAAAACAAAACTTGCTTTTTGTCTGCTCTTCAAAATTTGACGCGCAACGTGCAAGAAAAATCAATTAGGGATATATTGTATAATTAAAATAAAATGACCAGAGGAATAAAATATAATTGAAACTACTTTTGTCAGTAAAACATTTTTTTTTAAATCATGTCAATAAATTTTCCAAAATAATATATACATTTTCTTATTTTGCAAGGAGAGATGCAAAAAAGTGTTATATAACCTTAAGAAACGTAAGCTAATTTTTTTTTCTTCAAAATAAGTAAATTGTTTAGCAGGCAATTTTTCAAAACATAAGTTGACTTAACTTTATTCATAGCCTTGAATATATTCAATATCATCATAAAATTTTAGTTTATTCATTATGCAAGTTTGGTTTTGAAATTTAAAGCTGGGGATGCAAGATGCGCAGATGAGTTTTTTCCCGCGAATGAATTTTCGACACACACCGACACACGTGCGTATGCCGCGACTTTTTAATTTGTCAAAATTGGCATCAAAGGAGAAACTCGAGAGAAACAAAAAGAGAGGAAAGGCGCGCGTGCATTTCATTTTGCTGGCGCTTTGTGCTCTCATTTCATTTATTCCGGCGGGCCCAAATGCAGAACAAGCAGCGGCAAAAATTAGCTTTGGTAAATTAAGCACAGCATTCTTTTAATTTTCTCTCTCTGTGCTCTCGGCTGCTCCACGTGTATGTGGATAATTAACTTTCAGCAGCAAGAGAATAAAAAGGGGTTGTCGGCGGAGGCAGCGCGCAAGGGTGGGGCTTAATGAAATACATGCAGGGCGTGCTTAGTGCTCCTGTGTGTATTAACTCGGGGCAAAAGTGGGCAGAAACACACAACTGACCGCTGCAGCGTTGAGCAAAGATTAAAAAAGTGTTCATTTGCATACACGTACGGAGTGGGGTGGGGTGAGGGGGGGGGCGATGAAAGAAATTTTTTAATAAAGGTCAGCACTTGTGTGTGCTTTACGAGCACCACACCTCAGCTACCTGCCCTGCCTGCGCTTCATTTGGCCGGGGAAATTCATTACGATCGTCATTACCATGCAGGGCCCACCAAATATATAATATGTACAGCCACACTTTTTTTTTTAATTCGTGGGCGTTAAATTAGCACCGCCTGCATTATGTTGCCACTTACATCCTCGGGGGTTGTTTTGCCCCAAATTTAAATTTGTGCCCTCCATCCTGGTAAAAAATGTTGAATTAAAACATAAATTAAAATTCTTATCAAGTACAAAATTAATTTTATTTTCAATCGGCATAATTTCTTTTTTTGATCCAACGATAGAATTAAACAAACAAACAGACTGCTCCCTAAGATGAAAGCTACATTTTAGGCTCAAATTTTATGTTTAATAAAAAAGTTGTTCTTTTCATCCAATGTGTTCTTTTTTTCCTAATTCTCTAGTTGTAAAATGACAAAGCAAGCTTAGATTTTTAAATTATTAGTGATTTTACCTTAATTTAAATATCTAAGAAAAATGATTGAAATGTAATTCTTTCAAGTTTGCTGAAAACATTCTCCTGTTTGTATTATTTCAAAAAAGGATTCTTTGAAAAAATTAAAAAATCTGGTTTCCACGCCTTTGTTAAATTCGTTAATGAATTTAATACAAAGTTTCTAAATAATTAAAATCTATAAGCCATGCTCCTCAGAGAACCTTTTTTAGTCGTTAATGAATTTGACCCTTTTGCAGAACGGTTTATTTCTATAGTTTGATTGATAATTGTATGTTTTGCGCCGATTCAGGATTGACGCACAGAATGAATGTGTGGCGCGGTTTTACGCGAGATCTCGGCGGGGCACGAAGTCGCTCCGTGACTTCAATGCCAATTTGCTAATCAATCCGACTTGTTACTTGAATTCCCAATAATGAACCTCCCTTCAGTGCAATCACCCCTCCCTGCCCGTGTGTGAATGCGTGCGCCCGTTTTCTCGCAGGCAGATGAAGCGAAGCCAAATTTCCAATCCCTCTCATCAATCACCATTTGTTGTAGGAGCTGAGCACGGACCCGCTTTTTACTTTCCATTATTTTTACAAACGAACTGATATTCACGGCCAGCTCCAATTTATTTTTCCACAGTTTTGCTTTCACGTGGCTTTCCTGAAATTTCCAAAGAAAAATATGTGGACTAAAGATAAAAAAGAATCGCGATTGTTTATTTAAAACCAATTCGTATGAAATTTTTCACTGTCAGATAATAATGCCCGCTTATACATATAATAACAAAAATATGCCAGAAGCCAATTGCGTGTGACTAGGGAGAAATGCTCTTAAATTACAAAAATTTCACTTTCAATGTCTGAAAGAAATTTACATCAAGATTATAAAACAACCGACTACAGAGAGTCCAGTATTTGAAATCACATTCGCTCAATAACGATTTGAAACAGCAAGCACTTATTAATGACAAATTTCTTTAAGCTTGGCACTATTGGTTCATAATAATTTCTGCTTTTCGTTTCTGTCGTGAAGAATTTAATTTGCTTGAAAGAAAATTTTAATTTTTACTGCAGTATTATTAAATGTTTGAAATTTTAGGCATTATATAAACAGGATTAAAGTTTTTTTTTGCAGAATTTCCAAAATTTATTATTGAATGGAGCCGACTCTGCTTTTCTCTTAAGATCCAAATATCAACACTTGGTAGCTTTAAAAATTTGTTTTTTTAGAGATTCTCAATGTCATCATCGCCGTAGAAACTATCATCAATGAACAGCGCCTACATAACTAGATTCAAAATTTGAAAAGGCATAAAAAAAAAATACACCAAAATAAGAATTTAATTTAAATATTTTAACACTAAAATGCATACAAATTAATTTCGTCTCCCTGTCAATGAAATGGCAAAAAGGACCTTTTTTAAATTATATGTTTTCATAGAAAACTTCTATGTTTGCGCCTGTGGTTCGCCTGCACTCCACCTGCTGGACATCATTGTTACACAGGTTGCATACTTTAACATAGATTTAATGGTGTGTTTTGTGATTTCAAGTTGGACCTACTTTAAATGTTTGGACTATTCATTTTCACGGTTTGTTTAAACTGAAGTTGATTTTAATCATAAAAATCAACATCAATTTTACAGTTTTCGACGTAACATTTTTAATTATATCCATCAAAAGAAACATGTTTTATTATTATTATTATGAATAATAAACAAATCTTTTGGCAAGCCGAAGGGAAGAAACCCGCGAAAATTTGCATTTCTGGCGAGAGCTTTGGGCTGGAAAGAGAAAACGAGTGAAAGGGTGGCTAATTGGCCGTTGCTGATGAACGGGCGCAAGTCAAAGAAGAGTGTCTTTTGCTTCAATTAATTAATGCAGAGCAGAGAGATTGCAGTTGATTAAATCCGGGGCCGCGTGTAATTATTAATTAGCGATAATTATCAGTTTCCAAATAGATACTCTCTTTTAGCATTTTGTGCGGGGAACTGGCTCAGAGTACAGAGTGTGCACACTTAATTTAGCAGTCGTCGGCAAACAGAGTCGTGCGGAATGCATAATTAATTTCTCTCGCCTCAATTACTCGCGCTCATTAAAACTCGCGAGACCAAATTTGCGACGAAAAGAGAGACTGCGTAGGTGCGTGCGTGTGTATTTTCCCGCTCCACTCTTAATTATGTGCGCTCATGTGTGGGATTATCGTTTTCGGATTTGTTAATTTGCACACGGTTAGACGCTTCTTTTGACTCGATTGAGCATTTTCGAGTTGGTCAGCTCGGCGGCGGAGGCGGCCACGCACGCCACACAGAGAGAGAAAGGGGAAAACGGTGTTTGAACAGAATCTCGCTCGCGACAATGCAAATACGACGCAAAAGATACCGAGCAGGGAGACTAATGGAATGTAAACAATTAAGCGCGAGGAAAAGCGATAAATTTCAGAGGCGCGTTCAAGTGAAGGGGAGGCACTATTATTGCAAGCTGCATGCACGCCAAAAACTTATGCACCTAGTCGCAGACCTTGCACAGGCGGGACCTTCTTAAATTTGGGCCTCATTTTTGGTAATTTTTGCATCTGTAGTAGAAAAAAATTCCGAGTTGTTTAAGCTGGTTTAATAGACTCAATTTTAGAGGAAGAATCATTCAAATCGAGGGCTATGAAAGTCAATCTTCACAATTTTTTAGAATAATTATGCTCTTATTGAACTTATTTTCAAACTTTGCAATTTTCACATGCAACATCAAATTTGATAGAGAGTATAAACTCAACACCCCTTGAATAAGGTAACATTTTTTTTAGACGATATTAAAGAAAATCACACAATTTGTTATAAATTGTAGCTTGAAATATTTTTCTCTCCTCTCCAATAAAAAATTATTTTTATTTTCGCGTGAAGATAAATAAAAATAATGACTTTATATTGAAAGTCTAATTATACAAAATTCTAAATTCAATAAATAAAGAAAAAGTACATTTTTTTGGAATTAAAAAATCTTTTTTTGATTGCAGCAAAAATACCACCCTCAATAGCTAAATAATGGAAATCTCTGCTCAAAAAGTATCAAGGTTGATTTGCAAAACGTTTTAACTCCCAATGGTAGCTTTAAAGGGTTGATAGTTTTGCTGCAAAAGGGTTTTTCGACCGTGACAGGACTCGAACCTGCAATCTTCGGATCCGAAGTCCGACGCCTTATCCATTAGGCCACACGGTCTACATTGCACATGAGCCCTTCCGAAAGCTTGTAGTGCGCATGGGAAACACCACTTGCAACTTGCCGCATCACACTACTGATCACACGCCCAGACTAACGGATCGAAGCTGCGCGCACCACACCAAACGATATAATTCCTTCTCAAATAATTCATAGAAATTGTCATCAATTAAAAAACTTAACTTTAACAAATAATAATAAATTGCAAAATTTAATCTGCTACATAGCTATTTCAAAATTTAATTTTTTTTCTGCCAGTCCCTTATCCCCAAGGTGATCCTGGCTCATGGGCAGTGATCATTTGAATTTAATTACGAGACAAATGAAAAAAATTAATTTCACAAGGAAAATTTTAACTTTGTACTCACCATAGTCGGCGTACTCAAGGGTGGCCAGGTTGCCATTTTGCTGGACTGAACACAGTGGTAGGTCTTGGCCATCACCTTGGCGGCTACGGGACCCATGGCTGGGAGGTCCTTCCACTGGCGCCCCATCATAGAGAGGATGGGCTGGAGCAAATGCGGGGCGGCCGCCATCAAACCTGAACTAACAAGGGACAAATGTTCAAAATTCATTTTTTCCAATCCAAAAATAGATTCAATCGAGTCTCGACTTTCACCATACTAAATAAATACAAATTTAGCCGCAACTTTCCTACATTTCAAAAGGTTTTGTTAATATTGAATCAATTCAATTTACTATTGGTTTGACCCTATAGTTGCACAATCGTTTTTAATTTTATACTAAAATTTCAAATGAGAAAGAGTTGAAGTGGGCAAAAACTGCATTAAAATATTACTACAAAAAATTATTGTTTTTCTTTGTTTTAGAGTATCAATCACTATCAAATGATGGAAAAACTCTTTTTTAAATTTCAACACACAGAGAGCATGGATAAAAAAAGTAAAAATCATTCACTATCTGTGTTCCGATTCCTCAAAAAGGGTTGAGAAATTTTTTGATCGGACTGTAGCTGTCATAGCTGTGCTCATTTCTCTCTTCTGTAACAAAAGTAAAATAAAAAGGGCGGTTTATTAGTGGGAATAACAACGATGGTGTTTGAAAAACAGGGAATGAACCTCATCAGCTCGGCCTGGATTTTCCCTAGAGAAAAAAAAATACCAAAGGCCTTCACGCGCAGGGGCTCTCTGCCTTGTCTCACTTTTGAAACGGTCAAAACCTTCTGAGCGTCATTCGTTTCTTGATAAAATAACCATAGATTACAGAAATTACAACTTCACGGCTCCTGAAACAAAACATGTGAAACGGAGATTTTAGATTTTATTACGCCAATCTGACGCCGCATAAATAAAATGAAAATTATTCACGTCTCATGAACAACGCCAGAGAGTTTTGAAATAAAAATTCTCCATTCAATAAAAAATAAATCATCAATATCCCAAGTTAATCTCCGGAAATTTGCAAATAAGAAACAGATTTGAATACACTCATAAAAATCCAGATAATAAGCGAAAAACAAACTTGAATCAATTTTTTATGTCATGCCGACTCAGCTTTGATTACGCGGTACAAAAACGATCGCGATTCCGCGATTCAGATGGCCGAATGGCTGATAAAATCAAGATTTTCTCACCTATGAAACAATGATTCCATTGCGTTGATAGCCAAGATCGATGGATTGTCGACAAAGTTCAGCTCAAAAGAACCAATTCTCCAGATAGTCTGGATTCACGTCGGCAAGACGACGCTCGCAAACGCTACAATATCATGGCCTACTTGGTTCCAATATCTTTCTGAGCCAAATGAGCAATTGAGCAGAAAAAAGCTACAGAATTCGTCTTTTCTGCTCGGTCTTGACAAGTTCAAAGGTGTTCAAAGTTCAAAGGAGAGTGAACGCTGTCGCTGTAGGGGAGAGAAGAGGAGACTCTTTTTACACCCCTCCGCTCATGCGCTCTTTTTGCGGCTTCCGCTTTTGTTTTGAGCGTGTTTGGAAAACATTTTGAAATTAATAAATAAAAAATTATTTAAATTCCTCAAGATATAAGAATTAAAAAAACAATCCCACTTAAATTCAATTTTCAACCAGAAGAAGTAAAATTAATCAAGATTTTGTCAAGGTTGATTTTTCCTTCCGCTTGTATATTTTAGCTCTGTTTATCTGTATTGTATTGTATTTTGTATAATTCTCGTAATATTGCTTAAGCAATTGTGGTCATGCATCATACAGGTTTAACAGGAAAGGTACAAATATATATTCGCTCATCCCTCTGATTCTCTTTATAACAAAATTGATGAGGCGGCTATTTGCGAGAGCGAGGCGGTCGGGTGTGTGTGGAGATATTTGATTGCATTTGAGCCGACAGTTTGTGTGTGTAATCAATCAGTATGTGAGTTGATGAGTACGACGAGCCTTTCAATATTTTAATAATGCCTGGGCTGGCGTGTTTATTGGGGGTGGAATCCTTTCATGTTGGCCGTGCGCGACGAGCGAAAATTAAATTTCCCCACAATGGAGAGAGAGGAGAGGGCTGAACACACGGCGCTGCGGCAACCGAGCCTGCTTTTTATCGAAGGGAGAGTATAATTAATGTAGCTCCATTGTCTCTTTCTCTCTTTCGGCTGGAATGCATTAGGAGAGCGTTTTAAAAATTGATCCGGCTGTGTGCGCGCCAGAGAGAACACGAATTAAACTGAGGATTTTGTCCCAAAACAATATGCGTCGGGGATAATCTTTTTGAGTACTGCGGGGCTGTAGCCAAACAAGTTTGAACAAAATAATTAACAAAATTGAACATGTGGATTGGAAAAAATTAATCCACTATCCACTTTATTACAAACATTATAAATTTTTATATAATTTTTTCTGCAATATTTCATCTTTCTCCCATTTTACTCTAAAATCAGCTAAAATTAAAATTTATCACGGTTTTGGGCAACTCCTGTTCTAAGGGATGATTTTTTGACTACTCACGCAAGAGGAATTACATACATAATATGCATGTTATCAATTGAAATCAATTTTCAATTTCTTCTAAAACCGGTTCTTACCTCTTTATGTCTTACTCTTACAATTATTATAGTTAAAATGTTAAAAAGTGTTTTATTATTTTTTTTTTACTTAATACCAGTTTATTATGAAATACAAATTTTTACAAATTTCAACAAATTTAGCTTAGCTAACTTATTTTTACAATTTTTTTTAAACAATTAGTAAGAATTCTCGCAATACGATTGGCTGCGAGCTAGAAAAGGTCAACCGACGACGCCCCCTTAAATGCGAATACACAAACACGCCTTCACTAAAGCAGCACGCGATTTTCTGACTAGTACTGCGTCTCGCCGGTTGTTGGATAATAATTATCTTCCTAATTCGGGTCCTTATTGAAAATGAACCTCCTCCCGAAGGCCAAGGCTGAATTCTCCGAGACCTCGTACTGGGAGAACTTTTTCAAAAAGCGAGGAACAAAAGCTTTCGATTGGTAACATCCATTATTATTATTGCTTTAAATTGAACAAATTATTCAAAGGTATGGCGAGTACCCTGAGCTGTGCAACCTGATTCATAAGTACATCAAACCGAAGGACGACATTCTCGTCGTTGGCTGCGGCAACTCAACTTTGAGCGCCAGCATGTACGATGTTGGCTATAGGTTTGTACATAGGCAAAATTCATATTTTTTAATTCAAATACAATATAATGTCTATAATTATCGATAATTATATTAAATTTCACTCAGGAGCATGACGAACATTGACACAAGCTCGGTGGTCATCAGACAAATGCGAGACACGCATTCCAAGACTAGACCAGGCCTGGTTTTTGAACAGAAGGACGCCATGGACACTGGTTACGCCGACAGCCACTTCAGCGTCGTCCTGGACAAAGGAACGTTGGACGCCCTCATGCCGGACAGTGAGGAGTCCACCCTTACGCAAATCAATCGATTCTTTAAGGCAATCTTCAACTGAGACAGAATTAATCCAATTTTAAGAGGATAATCTTTATAGGAAATTGACCGAGTCCTTCGAGTTGGAGGGCGTTACATTTGTGTGAGTCTACTGCAGCCGCACATTCTGCACCACCTGATGCAAAGGTTCCCCGTCCAGGCACCTGAAGGTTTTGGGTGGCCTCTGAGGATTTGTCTTTGTCCAGAGGCGAGTGCTGCCAACGCCCAATCGTCTGGTGGTGGCCTTTCAATGCCAGTTTTCTTTGTCGTTTGCACCAAGTTCAAAGCAATACCAGGAATGAAAAGCGTAAGTATTATTATTATTATTTTTTTTTAAATTGTACTTCTTTATTCTTTGTAAGATTATCATTTTAAATAATCCAAATTTGGCACAGTTGATAAATTCCCAACCTGACCAAAGTCCACTTAAAGTTAAATTTCATTTAAAAAAAATAAATTTAAAATAATTATAATGCAACAGATTACTTTCAGTTAGTTTGAGTTAATTTTTTTATAGATAACAGAAATCAGTCTTTCTGACCAACACATAATGAGAACGGAACCGGATGAGATCAAAGAGCAAATCGTCTCTCTGCACCAGGCAGCCCTGGTGGCCTGGAAACTGAGGACACAGAAACAGGTGCCTGGCGGGGAAGAGAACAAAGACGACCTGAGCATCCACCTTCACAGACTTGGGGATGAGAAGCCGAGATTTACCCTCAGAATTGTGGATAGACCTACCTCAAATAAAGGTGCAGCTCACAAATTTGCAGCTTTTGTTGTTCCGCAAGGAAGGTGAGTTGAAAATGAAATTTTGTTTTTATTATAATTTCCCTTTATGAATTTTAGGGAGACGGAATATTTATTCTCTTCGGCTGAGGGACAAAAGCAGCTAATCAGCATGACAGGGGCAGACAGATTGATTCTTGTCTTTCTGCACCGAGGACAAGCATACGAAAGTGTGAACAGCATCAGAGAAGAACTTGCGTCCAGCATTGTCCAGTTAGCCCCTCAAGGGATGCCTCCAAACACACAGATTCCATTTTTATCCTGTGGAGACGATATGGGTCACAGAGAAGTCATTTACGAAGGGCACAGTGAATTTTCGGGAGATTTTGTTGTTGAAGATGTTGTGGTAAGTTTTCCTTCCATTAGTAAAATATACAGTTATCTTTGTAACAATGTATTTCAGTGCGACGGAGGAGAAACCTTCAGAAAACTGGTGTTTCTGTCCAACCAGGGCGTAGTTCAATCTGAGGCTCTTTTGAAAAATTTGAGAAACAGATCAAAAAATGTCAACTTGTCCGTCGACACCTCTTACCTTGCCTGTGATCACCACCGACTGATGACCCTAGGATTAGCTCTCTACGAAAAGCCAGAAGTGCTTGTGATTGGCCTTGGGGGAGGGGGTCTTTGCTCCTTCATCAATAGATGCTTTCAAAGTGTAAGAAGGTTTTGGTCCAGTATGTTTTTTTCTATATATAATTTTGATTAGTGCCATTTGACGGCTGTCGAGATTGACCCAGCAATGCTTATGGTGGCCCAAAAGTATTTTAACCTCACCCAGAGTGAAAGGTCTAAAGTTCAAATTGGGGACGGGCTTCAGTTCATCAAGGATGCTGCCTTGAGTGGCCAAAAGTTTGATGCAGTTTTGTTTGATGTTGACAATAAGGACACATCTATTGGTATGAGTTGTCCGCCAAAAGAATTTGTTACGATGGAAGTTCTCCAAAAAGTTGAAAGTATCCTCTGTGAAAATGGTAAACTCTGAAATTTTTTTCTTTTTAAAATTAAATCACCTTGTTTTAGGCGTTTTTATATTGAATTTGGTGTGCAGAGATCCAACACTCAAGATCAAGACTATGAAGGATTTGGTCGTGTGCTTCAAATCTGTGGCTTCTATTCCTTTAGAAGACGAAGTGAATGATGTTGTATTCTGCTCAACTAGGAAAACACCCGAGGATCTGGAAAAGTGGATAAAAGAGTCTGCAAAAAAGGCCAACGCCCTTGCTAAGAAATCGAAAGTTAAAGACGAGCTCTTAGACATTGGAAAACTTTTCAAAAGCTTAACTTTGATGTAACAATTTATAATAAAATTTATACAAATTTCACAAACTTGTTTCATGTTCAGGACCATAAAAAGTATAAAGATTGAGTATAGTTATTTTTTTATTCTTTGCCTACATCTGTTAAATTAACATTGAAGAATATTAATAGTTCAGTTCAAAATTGAATCATTTGCGCATAATTTTTTACTAATATACCTGGCTTTAGATTTTCCTTAAATATTCACACATTCGACTATCACATCAGTTAAAATTAACACTTCCTACACAGTTTTTTCTTTCTTCTAAAATTCTGTACAAGAAATGCTTATTTAAATAAATTCCTTCGCAAATTAACGCAATCCAGGATTCACCGCAATTCTTACTTTTAATTCAGTCCTATCATCACCAGTGAACAACAGAAAGATGCACACGTATTTATATCAACATCAAAGGTTTTTTCCTCTCTTTTCAACATTTAAACCTTGAAACTTTGGAGAAAGTTATTTCTAACGTGATATTTTGCCTCCTGTTTTGAAACATACGTCAAAGTCAAGAACACCAAAAATCCAAATTGACACACACGCGCCGTCTCTCTACTGTTTGCTGCTGAGCAGAGCAGAACTGGCCGACTGCAAATTGACTGTGATCGTCTCGCTGATTGTGTTGACGGCCAGGTTGCTGCTCACGCTGGACGTCGGGGACTGGGACGGCGTTTGGCCCACAATGCTCAAAGCTGACACCCTCGCACGTTCATATGCGGTTGCCGTGTTCAGTCCCAAAAATCTGGTTGATATTTTATATTTAATTGAGCCTATGCCTGGCAGAGAGTTTTACCTTATTCCTATGTAACAGACCAGAAGGGCGCCTCCAATGGCTAGAAGTCTAATAAAGGGCTCGGTGAAGAACTGCACCAGAACCCAGGCCACAGCAACACTGATGCACATCGCTGTGACAATGGCAGAGGTCTGGAGCCAGTGGTGCAGAGTGAAGCCTTGTTGCCAGTCCAGATGGGTGCTTTGCTCAACCTGAGAAATTTGTCCACAATTTTCAATTGGAGATGACCGCAAATTTCAATAATCAGAATGTCTAGCTCAAAATTAGAGTTTTAAAATATCCACAAAATCTATACAAACCCTATTAAATAAACAAAAATTACCTGATATGCCGATCCGCAAACTTTGCATTTAAGTTTGTCTGAGGCAGACGCCTTAGGGTCGTCCAGCGCACTCTCAACCAGCCACCGCCTTAGACAATTGTGGTGCACATTGCTGACATCTCCTCTGCACTGACACGGCTTGATCAACGGACCAGCGTCTTTTCTGTCCGGGTCATAGCAAATCCAACAATCGGGACTGTCCTCTCTGTCCGACTCATCACCTGGATAAATGTTGAAATTCATGTAAAAAAAAATATTGAAAGATTGCTTACTGTCCGTTTCTGGTGATTTGTCCTTGTCTGCAGTTGAACTGCTGAAATCAGCCTCAATTTTCATAAGGAGTTTTTTCGGATTCAAAATCCATAGTTGCTCGGGACTGGAATTAACATTTTCAATTATTCAAAGCTTGAAAACAATGAGTGAAAACAAACCTAATGCAATTCCACAGGACACAAGGGAACCACAACACTGCGCCAATTTCCACAATGTGGAACAAAATGTCATGCCAGTTTCGACTTACAAGAGGAACCCTGGAAATTATAAATTTAAGACTTTCATTTATAAAACATGCAAAAAGCGATTACTTTGATTTCCAAAACTCGCTGAGTGTTTCGCTGAAGAGAAAGCCAACAACTATGAAAAGCATGATGGCCTGGGAAACTAAGCCAAGTCGAGACTGGTGCAGCTGAGAAGTGTTGATTTTCCTGTTCATCTGCTCCTGGTTCCTGTTCAGCTGATTTGAATCAAAGTTCACAATTTTGTCAATTAAATTATCCAATTATAAAATACCAATCGGCTGGACGAGGCCCCATCCTCCTCCTTGCTGGTGGACGCCTTCACTTTGGGGCTCTGCTTGTCACTTCCTCTGTTTGTCCACCGGTTGTTGGCTAAAGTCATAGCCACAGAGGCTTCGTGCTCACAGATGAATCCGCCTCGCACCTTATAAAATTTTTTCAATACAGAAAGTATGGGGAAAAAAATAAGTTTATTACCTTAAAGTAGACTTCAACACCGTAGATGAGGAAAAAGACGACAACGATAAATAGCAGAACAGCGTAGCATCCGTTAAAAACATGGACGTAGAAATTCTGGAATTGAATTTTATTTCAGTAAAAAATTTGATTTTTTGTTGCAAACAGACCCTTGCTTCGGCAGTTGGAGCGATCTTGGTTGTCGTTACAAGTTCAATGATGAGGAAAAAATAGGAGATGATGTTGAAAATGACAAATCCTAGGAAGGATTTTGACAGAAACTGTGGTCTCTCACATCGAACGTCCTGCAGATGGAAAACCTGAGGATTTAAATAAAAGTTGTAAATCAAGAATCAAAATTATAAATTCTCATCTAACCTCCGCCCAAAAGCAGACAATCAAAGAGGATCCGGAGAGGAGTAGGGGATAAAAAGCACTCATCATTGTCCTTGGCCAGCCGTTTTCGTCTTCAGTCTAGAAATTATCAAGAAGATAAATTTCATTGTGATTAAGTTAAACCAAAATTTACATTAGGAGAAGTGAAGTAGGCGCCTCGAATGATTGTGGCAAGGAAGACAAGGAAGTAGAGCAGTTTCTGGGTCGTGATTCGGCAGGCCCGCCACAAGGACGGGGTCTTCATTTTCTGGAACTCGGCCGCAATGCACATCACCAGCTGGATGAGGCACACCAGGGCCAGAAAGAAGAAGATCGAGGCGAACGCAGCGTGGTAACTGAAGTTGGGCGTCCGACACACCTCCCCCTCATACTGGATCTACAAACAATTTTTATTTTAATATAATAGATTTTAAATTTTTAATAATGTACCTCGCAGACGCATGTTCCGTTGTGGCACTCGCCATGGCCGGAACAGTTGTCGAGGCAGGCGGACGACGTCTGGTTGCTCCAAGACATCAGGCCAAATTTCACCAACACTGACAGCTGATTATCGGGCGACAGGGACAGCGCCCTGTCCATAATGCTCGAGTTTTGGTCCCAGGTATTTCACTCCAAACGGGACGAGATCAAACTGAAACGATTTATAAATTTTTTTTGGAAAACCACAAAAATTGAAAGTTTTGTTTTTCCTCCGGAAGCACCTGATTAGCAAAAACTGCGCACTTTTCTCCAAAACTCTTAAGAAAAATTATTTCAAATTGCAAATTTCTTTAATTGAATTAATTTATGGAAGCAAACAAAAGAAAATTATTCAAATATTTGCCAAGACATGTGCCAGAACATTTGCGTAAGCTTGAAGGCGCAGTTTTGTATGTTTTAGCTTAAGTGGATTCATAATAAGGACCGATTGCGTTGCGAAACTGCTTATCCTGGCTTTAAATCATAATTCGTATGTAATACTTAAAAATGAAAGACGAAAACTAGGTTATGCCAAAACTCAATAATGAGGAAAAGTGGGGTCTGCGAGGAATCCAAGTACAAACCTGGCAAGCTGGGTCGCAGGGTTTCATCGAAATCTGGACGACATTTTACATGGGAGCAATTATACACCGAGCTCACTACTATCTGCCTGTTGCTGGGGTCTACCTTCGGACGCGACGCGTTCTTCAAACGCGAATCCAAGCAAGGTCGAAGCTCGACCACTGTCAGGGTCCGAGCAAACTCGCAAATCGCACAGGAAATCACTACTTTTCCCCTATTGTGACGAGAGAATCGACCATCGACTGCCAGTCCGCGTCAAAATTCACCGTTCCGTTCGCAATTTTTTGCTCTCCATTCCACCCACCGACCCCGAATTCTTCGTTCCATTGGCATGGCGAACAAAGAGAACCGACCAATCACGAATCAGATTTTTTTCGCACTCTCTGCAATCAACAAGAGCGCGAACATTTGAAAGTTTACAAAATACTCCGCGCCTATTGCCAGTTATGGCATTACAATTGCTTGGCCTTATCTCACTCAAACAGATCTCAGAAATTTAAATCTTGTTTTTAATGCATATTTGAAACGCCTCTTGTGTGTACATAAATCAGCTCAGAATAGAATTGTGCATTTAATGTTGGAGGTTGATTCATTTATTGGTTGTTTGCAATCTATGTATAATCTTCCATACACACCTGCTTTTGGTACTTTGTTATTCGAGAGAGAAATGAAATCGTTTGATATTCCTCCTGATTTTCACAATGCAATTGTTACACTCCCGATTAAATGGAGAAGTCCTCTTCAACAGGACAGGCATGTTTATACTAGAATAATAGTTCATGGATTTCATTATAAATTTTGTGTTAAAAAGGAATATCACTTTGCAAGCAAAGCATGTAAATGTAAATTTTGTTCACAATATTGTAGTCAACACCACTGTTTATTTTGTACTCGATCGCCTTTTTCCTCCCTTGCTCAAATGGCTGATCATCAATATTCCCGCTGAAATACGCCCAAACTGATTGTAATGACTGTCCACCGATAGGTGGTGCGCCTAGTTCTATTTAGTATGTATAGCATGTATGTATTAGTAGTTGTACGCAAACGCGTTTAATAAAAGCATTATTATTATTAGCTTGCCAATGCTGACACACACACATAACGTGCTCTGATGAATCATCCGGAATCATCATACTGCAAAAATTCTCTTTCCACTAAACACAATTTAATTTGGAGATAAAAAATTGTTAGCAAATTCAAACCTTTTCTAATTAAATTATAGGTGACTGTGGCCCACAGAGCTGCTTATTATGTATTGGTAGAAATCTTGTATGTTTATTAGCTTTATCTTAAAAGTTTGAGAATTCCACAGCATAGCAACCACTGGTTTACCATGATTTTGGTGGTACCGTAAATTAATCAAAATTTTTTCCGCGAATTCTATATTTATATTTATTAAGCAAGATATGTGATTTGATAGATATAAGTTTATAAAACAATGATTCGTAGAACGTATAGAATGATGCGTTTATTTGTTGATTAAAAAAAAATGGCGCCAATAATCTGTATTAAAAACTGAATTGTTTTAAAAAATATCAAAATATTTTAATGTGTAAATTTTGAGGAATACTCTTTATTGTCGAATCTTGAAAAAAAAATGTAATATTGAGGATATTTATTTTTTACATGCCAACTTTCTACAATTGAATTCAGAAAAAAATTTGCGTTACGACAATTTCAAATTAATTTTAATGGAAATAGTTGATGATCTTATAAATAATCTTGCTCTTCATTTTTCCTAGAAGGATTACTCAAATTAAAAACCATCAGTTCAAATATTCAGCAACTTTATTTTTATTTACGGTTAATTAATGTGATGAAAGCAGAGATAAACAATTCTGCAGGTAATGTAAACAAAAAATGAAAATTTTCACACCATGAATTGGGGAGTATGAAAGTTCTTTCCTTGATTCTTATTAGGTTGTTTTTGTTTTTTTGATCAGTAGTTCGTTTCAAAATAATGGTAATCAATCGATGACATATTTTTTTTTACAAGCTGCACCCATGGCAAGAAAGGCACAATCTTGCATCATTGAATTTATCGCTTCGGGGCCGATTAAATACAAAATAGTTAGCTTAAGTAGTAAGGAGCAATGTGTGTGTCCGCGATTGAAAACTTAACAATAGAGGTTTACACTTTGAGAATGGTTGGCGATGAAGCACTCTTCCCATCAATTAAAAAATTAATGATCTTCTTTCAAGAATTTCTGGCCTGTCCATGGGCGCAGCAAAATGAAATGATATATAATACTTGGCGGAGACAATAGATAGGGGATTCTTTCATTCTTTTCAAACCAGAATAAATTTTGCTTTTTACAAAAAGGAGAAAAGTTTGATTGGACATCTGCAATTGTTCAAGCAGTTTAGGACTCATATAACTTAGAAAGTATATTTACAATGAATAATGGTCGTACCAGCTTGCACATTTTATTACCTCGGTGAAGGACCCAAATTTTTTCGATACATTCGCCAATTGAACAGATAGATAGAGAGTATTTAGGGAACATCAGGGGGCGGCATTTGAACGTGATTCGCATTCGCGCTTCGTAATTGCCATTTTTAAACAAATGCACATTCGCTCTCGGAACACAAACATTTGGGTCCTCAACGACTTACAGGACTGATAACCACCAAAGATGTAAAATATTTTGCTAGTTTTCTTATATTTTTTTTTAGTTTCTCGTAAGCTGTGTTGGAGCGCGCGCAGTAGATAAGAGAAAAATGCCTAGAACGAAGAGAGACAAAAAGGGAATTAAAATAGACTGGGCGGTGTGTGTGTGTGACCATTTGACCAACCAACTGAATACCAAGAAGCTATTGAGGATCGTATCACAAATTTAGTGCACAAAATAAGGACAACACTCAAAGGTACAGAGCTGCACTATGGACATTGGCAAGTTCTGGTTTTTAATTACACCTCGAAATCGCAACCAATGTAAGTATGTAACTGTACGAGAATGCATGGCTTCTCCCTTTTACTCTCTGGCCACTCTGGCTTGCTAACCACGCAAAGGAAGAGGAATTAATTTACATTAAGAGCTGCCATTCGTGAGGGATGGTGATGAGGGTGCTTTCTGCTGAGGGCCAACTTCTTGTACATTACCCTACAATCAAAACATACATGCAATTAGTTTGGACCGTAATATTTAAATTTTAAATAGCAAAGTGTACAATTGAAAGGCACAAAAAGAATTATCTATGCCCAAAATTAAAAATTGCATGTTTTATTAACTCTTGTTGTATGATAAAAGATACAATTATAAGGAAGCTGTTCAATTCGTTTATTCTCTCACAACAGGTCCAAAATTATTTGAAAAACACATATCAATCAATCTTAAATAAAGCAAAAGAGTAAATTTATTTCAAATTCACCTGGCTGCCTCCAGATACGGGAGAAGCTGCTTTAGCCGGGACTTTCCCTCGCGTTGGTCTCTGAGTTTTGGGAGGTGCAGGCTTGGGTCCTTTGTTGGAAGGCTGGGGGGCGTTGGCGGCAACAAAGTTGTTGCTGGCTGCCGGCTGGCTGCCAGAATCCCAACTGTCAACCCGGCCAGCATCTGGAACTGCATCGGCCCAATTACTCGACTCGGTTGAGCCGCTCGGCTTATCCAATCCCACAGGGCCGCCGCTGGGGACCAGGCCACCCCTTCTTGGGTCACCACGGCCGCGCTGGGGGCCACCTCGCTTGCCTCGGCCGCTTCCACTCTGGCGCGGCGGCCTTGCCTTGGCGCCATCCAGACTGGCTGAATCGACCAGCTTGGCACCTTCGGCCACAGGGCCGCTGGTGGCGCCGCCACTTGGAGGCTGCTTCTGGTCTAGCACCGATTCCTCCTCATCGTTAACTCGCTGTCTTCGGTCACGCATGCCGCGCCGGCCTCGGTCCGAGTAGTGCTCGCGGTTGTCTGAGAAGCAGTAGAAGACTTTCGCTGGAGGTTTAAAGACCTTCGATTTGTCCTTCATGCAAACTTCATTTTTTGATATTTTCAAAACACACCATTGGAAAGAGCAAATAAAAAATAACAAGAAATCCCATTATTTAATGAGAATGCTTTGAAAATCAATTCTCTCAAGCAAACAAAAGTAAAACTTAAAAGACAAACATTGCATTTCAGATTTGAACCAAATCGATAAAATTATCTAATTTTTTAAACAATTTTTATTTCAAAATAAATTTACCATTCTTTATAATTTATTAACCCAAATGAAGCAAAATTTTGAAAGATGTTGATTGTTAGAATCTAATTAGCCATCGAGTTAATCTTGTTAATACTTTATAAAATTGTTAATAAATGCATCATCCGTTCTTGTAAAATAATAACTAAAATAGTGTGCTCGTTGCAACGTTGTGCTTAGGTAAAATACCAAAAAATGATTAACTTATTCGCTCTCGTCAGTTTTCTCACCTGTAGGGTGTTCGTTGATGTGGCTTTTGGAGGGTCCTCCTGGGGTCCGACCGTCTCTGAGTGGAGGGGGGTTGCCTCGGCCGCCCCGCATGCCCCTACCTCGACCACCACGGCCCATGATATTGCCAGAGAATCCGCCTCTTAAACTCCTGTCATCAGATCTGTCTTGTTCAAAGCCCCTGCGAAAACTTCGCTCGCTGTCAAGTATGACAAGCACATACGTTGTTATTACCTTCGGTTCTGTGGATAGAGCTGTAGGCAGTTGAGCTGCTGATCAATGTTCAACTTCTCTTGCCTCAGTTTCTCAAGTTCTTTCAGGTGTGACAGGTGATACTCAAGTAGAACCTAGAATTTTATTAATATTTAAAAAAACAAATAAATTAAAAAACAAAAATACATAAAATCGTTGAATTTTGGGGGCTTAAGCAAGAAAAATTATTTTTAACTTGTGCTCACCTTGGCATTGGCGATGCTCTCAACAGTTCCAACAAATACAAATGGCACCTGACCCTCCTCCCGTGGCTGGCTAGGCTGCGGCTCGTTGTCTCCTTCAATTTTCACACGCACCACACCACTCTTGTCAACAATTTCCTGAATGATGCGCCCACTTTTGCCAATGACCTTGCCCACCAGCAGCCTTGGCACTTTGATACTCTCCTCACCGTACTCGAGCATATTCCGAGCCTTTCGCACACATTCCCTATTCTAAATTCCAGAGACAAATTAGATTCGAATAGAGTAAAGCATAAAGGACTTCTTACTTCACCACAAATCCTAAATGTACATGTGTTTTCTTCTAATTCTATGTTGGTAATACCAGGTAACTTTCTAGCTTGCTGAATATTCACACCGTGAGCTCCTATGGCCAATCCCATGAGATCTTCTCTCACACTAAATTCCTCTGTGAACCTAGAATCAAACATTTTTCTATAAAAACAACTAATCTCTCCTCCTGCTGCTCATGGGATCTTACGTCGCCTTCTCGTGCTGCTTGGTCGACGCTAATTGACGGGCGCTTTCTTCCATGCGCCGCAACAACAGCACACGTTGTGATAGGTTACGGAAATGCATCTCCTGGACCATTGAGCTTAGCCGCTGACTTGCTTCGTTCCTTGTCTGAATTCAAAAGCTTAGTAACTCTAATTTATTATTTCTTAACTACTCACAATAACCCTGAGTACCCCTGCTTCCGGGATGAATTTGACAGAGGAGGCCTTGATCACCTTGAGGAATTCTGAGTGAGCACTCTCCATCTTGGCACTGAAATCAAATCGAATTTGAGTTAGCTACAACAAAGCAGCTAATAATATGACGATAAAGTACTTTAAATTTTAAGAATTTGTTTTCGAGATCACAATTTAAAGAGAATAATTTATTGTTCAATTGGGAATTCGACAGTATTAATATAGCTCTTTAATTTACAATCTTGAAACACAAACGCTTACTCTTCTCGCAGCTCTTCAGGAACAGGGATTTCAAATTTGAAGAAGGTGTGTGCATCAATAGGGCTGTTGGCGTTCCTAGGTCGTAGATCTTCCTCGTTAACAATTTCAGTATAAGCGCTCTCGCCCCAGCCGACGTACTCGACCACAATGAAGCCACCCTTGACCATCTGCAAATTTCAATAGTCAGACAAGCCACTGGTGTAAAAAACTGGCGTCACCTTAATGATGACCTTCCACCAGCCGCACGCCTCTCCAGTCTGCGAACACGAAAAGACCTCGGCCTCCTGGCCTTCGGAAAACTCAGGTCGAATAGCACCTTCTTGCCGGGGAGGAGGAGGCAGGCGGACTTGAGAGAAAGGGAACTTGGACTCTGGTTGCCAGCTGAAGAAAAGAAAGATTAATTTTTTATTAACTCAAATTAGGGATTATTGCTTACTCATCCTCAAAACTGACTTTCACTTCCTCGTCAAAAATGTCAGTCACTCGAGCCTGGAATCAAAAAGGAATTTTAATAGGTTACATAATAATACATTCCGAAACAAAAGGGATCAATTCCCGATGAAAAATACTTTTTACCCTCCATTTTGATCCAGAATTTGTGGAAATTCTGAACTACTGTTCGTTTAAAATTCAGATTTTATTGGGAAAATGCCATTTAAGGGAGTGACTCCTTTAATTTGATTTGGTAGTGAATATGAATACAAATTATTGGTATTCAAAAAGTCAATATTTTATCCTTTTAGCGCAATGGGGTTTTTGATAGCCGGCTGATTCCGAGGAGCGACTTATGAGAGCAATTCGCAGAAAACCTGGACTTGCAGCGGCAAGTAAGGACATTCGTAGCAAGTTGAGCAGGACACGCCCAGTGCATCCGAGGAACATGACCCGTCAACCGGCATTTCAAGAAAGCGGCCGAGGCGATCAACCCGGCCTTCAACTTATCAATCCCCCCGACAAAACCTTTAATTTGCGTGCCAATTTGCGTAGATATTTGAAAAAGAAATAAACAGCAGCCGCACACGGAATCGCATAACAATGAAATTGCCCGCCTAGAGAGGTGTGAGCTGTGGGTGCGAATTCCCACTTTTGCACCACTCCAGCGTCAAATATTTCGAGTTCAGCCGTGAATTCACTAAGGGACGGGGTCACTGGGCCGCTTGGGAGGAGCTGGTGTCCAGTAAAAGTTGATTTGCCGACACAAATAGGCCCGACGGCACTGCGGAATGCAGCAGCCGATCGGCACATGGGGCTTGGCGAGGGTCAAAATTGGCCCGCGAACGGCAACAGCCGACGATAATTTAGCACACCAGCCTAGCTGAAGGTCTTGCGAATGTGCCAGGGTGGAAAGTAGACACGTAATCGGTCTAGTAACCTTATAATAAGCTCCATTATCTCCAAGAACTTCGACTTCGGCGTCCTCCATCTTGAATAATTTTGGTTTTGGTAGCTTCCAAAAAGCATCGCCCTGATACGGATGGCAGATGTCACCACTGGCAAGTACGATGGCTGCGAACAGCGCCAAATATACGACCGCCGGCTGCGGTTGACGTTCGAAACTCTAGGAAGGGGGCGTGTTTGTTTTGGATTTGTCGCGTAGCAGGATTTTTTGGTTTGCGCCGATTATTTACTTACTTATATATTAATTTATAAAATCTCTTTTCATTTGACATCTAAATTTGCAATATACTTTTTATTATGAAAACTCTTTATTTATTTATTATTGTTCCAAAAATTCTGTTGAAAAGAGATATACATTAATCTTTTTAATTTACATATTTGACTTGCTTTCAGAACAAAAATTGGCATTGCGAAATTATTTCAATGCAACAGTAAAACGAAACGACTTCGACGATTCGGATATTTCGGATTCAACACTTTTCATACCTTTTACAAGAAATGGTCTTAAAACTGCTCAGGTGACCTGTCATAAGCGTGTAATGAAGATTTTATATCCCTTTATAAATTTCCTTTTCATACAGTTGAAAGATAAATTTTGAGTATTTAAAAAGAAAAATGGAGCAAAGCCTGTTGACATCTAGTCTTCAGAACATTTCCTTCGGGATTGTTCTTCAAATCATCGTCCGCGTGATCACCTTTCTCAGCAACGCTTGCGTCCTGAGGTAAAACAAAGTTTTATTGTACATAACTTTAAAAAAAAGGACTATACAACTTTAAAATTCTCAAAGGTACATCTCTCCAGATGCCTTGGGTTTGATGAACGTCCGTCTGCTGCTTCTCGAATCAACCATTCTGTTTGTCAGTCGAGAGGCCTTCAGGAAGAGCACCCTGGATGACGTTCGGAACCACAATTGGCCCCTGGTGATCAATTTGATATGGATCACCCTGCCAATTTCAGTTCTGATTTCTGTCGTCTTGGGACATGTGTGGCTGGACATGCTGGAGGCTCCCCCTCCACACCTGCAGAGCCAGTACGTTACAGGGGTGTGGGTGATGGCCTTGAGTTGCATTATTGAGTCTACCTGTGAGGCCCCTTTGCTGGTGGCGAATGCATTCCTCTTCAACAAATTAAAAGTATTTTCCATTTATAAAGATTTAAAAAATAATAATAATAATAAAATTCAGGTTGCGTTAAACCTTCTGCACATAGGGCTGCGCACTCTGGTGTTTCTGCCGCTGGTGCTGTGCAGCCCCTCCAACTCGGTGCATGCCTTTTCTGCCGCGCAGGCCGTTGGCACCCTGACCCTGGTGCTGGGCTACTATGGCTACTTTTACCACTACCTGCGCACCCCCCACAAAGGCTTCCCCTTCAAGAGCATCAGGGACTTCTTGCCTCGGTTTGACCTGCAGCAGTGGATCCATCGTCCTCTGGCCTGGCTCACGTGGAGCCTCTTTAAGACCATGGCCGTCAAACAACTGCTGACCGAAGGGGAGCGCTACGTAATGACCATTTCGGGGGTGTTGTCCCTCACTCAGCAGGGGGTGTACGAGACTGTCAATAATTTGGGTACTCTGCCAGCAAGGCTGCTCTTCAGACCCATTGAAGAGAGCTGCTACTTCTACTTTGCTCAGTTATTCAGGTAAAATATACCATTACTAGTAACACAAAAAAATTTAATTTAACAATCACAATTTTCATATTTTATTATTTTTTTCTCATTTTCAGGAGGGGTGAGCAAGTCTCAAAATTGAACAAAGACCACATGGAAGAAGCCTCAAAGCTTCTTTTCTATGCCATGCGCTGCACCGTGGTGTTCGGACTTACTGTGATGGCTTTTGGATTTTCCTACTCAAGACTCCTCCTCTTCCTGTACGGAGGCGAGTCGCTGGCCACCGACACTGGCACAGTTCTGCTCAGGGCCCATTGCACCGTCATCCTCTTCTTGGCCATCAACGGAATCACTGAGGCCTTCGGCCAATCGGCCATGAGCAAAGAACAACTTTCGTGGTACAACTACTCAATGGTGTTGCTCTCCGTAGCCTTTCTAGTCATCTCATGGGCCCTCACCTACTTGCTAGGCGGCCTGGGCTTTATCCTGGCTAATTGCTGCAACATGGCCACCAGAATCTGTTGCAGTCTCAAGTTCATGTACGAGTTATACGACGGGAGCAAGTGGCAGCCCTTGAAGGGTCTGCTGCCGGGACCTTTGATTGTGACCGCTCTTGCTGTTTCTTTTCTCATCACAAACTTTTCCGAGAGTCTCTACTTTGATGAGAACAAACTTGTTCACTTAATGATCGGCGCCTGTTGTGGCTTATTCAGTGTTGCAGTGTTTTTCTACGAAGAGAAAGAGCTTTTTAAAATCATTTGTGCAAAACTGGGAATTGACAAGAGATTTGCGCATGAGAAAGATGATTAAATGAGATTCGTTGCATGTTTTTAATGAAAAATCTGCCAAACCTTCATTTTATCTAAAATTCGCTTGTGCATTTCATGGGACTTTTGACTTGAATTGACTAATATATCACCAGGGCAGAAATATTTCCTTCTCTTTATGTGCACTCAGGACCAAAAGTTTGGTCAGAACCTAAGACCCTGAACACCGGCTGTGTTGTTACATCCCTATTTTAAATAAATTTAAGTTATAATGACATTCTTTTTTGAATGGAATGGAAAAAATATTTAATTTTTTCTTTTCTTCAAGCCCTACTGTTATTTAAAAAAAAAATGTTTTTCGTTGATTGTTTTAGTTGTTTTCTTTTAATTCTGTAAATGCTTACATAATGGATTATGTATTTGTGGGTTATTTACAATGATGTTGGGCCAATCGAGACGCCAGGGTGAAGTGAATAAAAGACTTCCGAGTGACTTCAGTGCATAACTGCTCCCAGCGGTTCGGCCCTGACAGTTGACAAGTCCAAATTCGAGTCAGCCTCATCGTCAATTTCACCGATTATGGCCCTAATCAAAGAACAGCAACTTACGAAATGATGTGCTTTACAAAAAATTCTTACACATTGTCTCCTCTGATGATGTGCAAACCAAGAGGCACTTCCTCCACACCGGCATTCACGCTGTACACCCTCTCATGGCTTTCGTCCAAAATCAAATTAATTGTCTGGTCAAAACCCTTCAAGGTTCCCTTTAAATCAAGAGATTTGTTATAAATCATGAATATTTATTTACGGATGATTCCCATCCCAATTAATTTCACTTACAACAAAATTTCTTCCATCCTGAGTTATGATTGAAACTGTGTCTGATGAATGCTTTTAAGGAACTATTAGAAAAAAATTTAATAAAAAAAAAATAAAACAATGGAGCATTTTGAAAAAGGATACGGTTCACATAAGAATCGAGACCTGAAGCCATTGTAACAGGGAGGAAAACAAATTGGAATGCAAACGCAGCGATCTCAAAATATAACAAAATAGCGTCTCTTTAAGAACAAAATTTACGGAAAGTACATATGATAGCTGGCAATAAATATGGGCAAAATCTTTTTGTTTGACACCCTGAAATCGAAATAAATAAGGTCAAAGAGCCGTCTGATATCTTTGCAGAAATTTGAGCGTTATTTCGGCGTTGCTGAAAAATGCCGAGCCGACAACAATCCACGCCTCCTTTATGCACCACAAATCAAGGCCACAAATAATATTATAATAATACCTACTGAATTATAGTTGGCAGCACTGGACAGGTACCACACGTACCACATTTGGTTTGTTTACTTCTTTCTACAAATCACAAAACCATCCCCCAGACCCAAAACGCAAATGCAACGAAATTTTTGAAAAGTGGACTAAAGTTGCAGCAATTTTTGGTAAGCTAGCTGAATATTTATATTTTATGTAGGGATAAATAATATTAAACGGCAGTATACGCAGCTGGCTTGTCGGGAGTACAAAGTATTACTATGTATTCTTGTTCTTGCAACAACCAATTATGATAATTTTATTTTTACATAACATTATAAGTACATAAAATGTAAGTTGTGATTTATTAAATATTACAAATATATGTATGTACATATATGTATGTAAATATATGTATTGCTCATCACCATTATTTATGAAGTATACTTCATAAATGTATACATACAAAGTGTTAATTTATATAAAGCAAAGAATACAATTAGCACTGTACATTATATAAAATTAAAATAATCATAATATGATATATGACCATAATATAAATATATATGCATATGTATAAAAACAATTATGCTTTTACATATTTCAAACTCATTTGAGTAATACGGCCACATATAAACATAATTTAAAACAAAAATTTCGTTGGTTTCATATCAGTCCATAGCGTTGAAAATTGGGAAAATTGAGCCCGAGCTCGTCAGTTTTAGCCGGTGTCTGTATGAGTTTGGCCGATTTTGGGCTGCGAAGTTTGAAAGTCTATATCGCGCCAGCTGACAAAAATTTGACCTAGTGTTACAGTGATTGCTTCAAAGTGCCAAAACCTCCATTGCTTCTCCTGCATTTTAAATTTTGATTTTGCTCTTAATAACTGCGGTAAAAATAGTTGGCGTGCAAGAATCGGTGGCTGCCCAAACGAAAATTTAAAAAAAAATATCGGCCGGCAAATTATTTGAATTATCGCCTTGTCTCTTTTGATGATTTTGAGCCAAGAACTAAAATGGGATTGATATAAAATAAATTTAATAGGTTATACTTTTCACTCTCTTGTTATAATTACCTCATTCTTTGGGCGGCTTAGCTCCAATGTGGGCTTTAACAACTTTTTTCCTATTTGCCTGGCCATTAGCAACATCAAATGCATCACTAATTAGGCCATCTTGAACATCGTCCTGTATGTTGTCATGAACATTGTCCTGTACGTCGTCATGAACATTGTCCTGTATGTTGTCTTCACCTGTAGGTCCCATTGCTTCCATAGTTGAATTTTTCAATTCACAGCTCAAACTATGGCAGAGATGAAAAAAAATCAGATTTGGAGTGCATTATAAGTAAAATAAAATTCTAAGCCTTCTTTGTGTCTATGCAATTTTTAAACAAATTGACAAAACATAAAATATCAAGCTGATATCAAGTATATTTTTTCTTTGAACCTATTTTTTTTTTAATTTATCAAGGAAAAATAAAGGCGAATTTTCTAAATCCAAAAACCTAAACAACCGCTATTTTTGAAAGAAACAAAATTTGATAGTATCAACTATCAAGGCGTCATAATCAAACATTTTTCCCATTTTTCTTTATATATTCCATTGTTATTGCTGTTTAGTTTAAAACTATAGTTTATTTTTGCCATAATATGTAAACAATAAAATCATTTTTAATATTTCTTAAAAATTAAAATGAGCGGCTGAAAGGTCCAATAATTTGTTAAAAAGCGCTGGCGTCTTTGACTATACCATAAAATCAAATTTCGTAAATTTTTGAATAATAAAAAACAATTTATAAATTTTGTTTATCAATCAATTTGATGAATGCGTGGATCAAAATTAAAAATAACACACTTACGCGTACGCAACTGCACGCGAGTCAATCCGGGCTGCCGGCAAATACTCAATTAAGTGGCACTCACATGGTCAACTTCCGCTACCTACGCAAATGCAGGAGGAGCTGGAGGTACCACGCCATGGCAACCAACAAGAAACGGCAGCCATAGGGCGTTCGATGGCCGTATGACCACGATGGACCAACCATCGAGCATCAGCAGGAGCAGGCGCCAAAATAGAGAGGGGCTGGTCGTCTTTTATGATGTGTCGTCGGCGCTTGCAGATCTCAGGCTGGCAGAATTTTGCATGATGATTGTAAGGGAGTTTAACTTAAACTCTTGATCCTCAATGATCGTCATGACACCCCAGTGTCAATAAAGATTAACATGATTGTTTATAATAATATATAGCTCCGCGTTGTGCGTTCAAGTGTAGGCTGAACTCATTTTTTTTTTTAATATCTAAATTTGTAGATTATTGAAATTAAAAATATTGTTGCTCTTTATTCATTAAAAAATATATTCCATTTCGTGATTGCTATCATTTGTTATATTAATTTGTATTTAAATGAAACCAAAAGGCGAATTGCATCATGATAATCATAACATATAGTAAACGCCACTTTTACAGGTTTAAGTACGCTTTATCCACTCCCTCTTCATGTAATAGCGTTTTTTTAATACATATGCGCGTTCAATGAGTTATAGTTTCTGTCACGAGGCACGAGGGCATCACATTATGACGTAAATCCAATTTTTTTAGCATAGGACCAGAAAGGTGAACTTTTTAATTTTATTAAAATCAACAATAATATAATTTTAATTATTTTACTAGCGCCATAAATTAATTGCAAAAAATCCTAAAGACGTTTTTCAATAATTTGCAAAATATCTTCGGTCTACCTTGGAATAATTTAAATTAACTAATTTAATATTTTATTACAGTTGACTCCGCCGCGGTGCTTTGATGGCGGCAGCTGGCCCAAAATTAGATGAAGTTTAATTATCCGTATAATCAGCCCAACTCCATGCGACTTATTTTATTTCCAGCATTTTTAATTTTTTCCCCTCTCGGATGAGACATAATGACTTGGCGCCTTTGGCTGAGACACCCTTTCTTTTTGAGATTGTATACATAATTAATTTTTAATCTCTTTCTACTCCCAAAATTTAATTAATCAATCTTTGAAAATTATTTCCTTGTCTATAGGGAGTTTTAATCATGGCATTTATAAATTTGAATGTTATGGCATAATCATTGCAAGATTCTCAGGAACTTGCATTTTCAGTCGGTTTTTTGGGGTAGAGCGAAAATTTGTTCCTAGATTTTAAACAAAACTAAAGTAAATAAAACTCTTTAGTAATAAATTTAAATTATTAAAATAATCTGAATTTTAATAATAATAAAAATCAAACTTTGATCTATTAGATGGCGGACGAAGAGGAGAAGGATGTGAACGAGCTGTTCGACTCGATTGTGATGCTGGAACAGAAAGTTGCCTCAGACGGCTTCAGAGAGGGATTTGAGAAGGGTCAGCAAGAAGGCACCGAGGATGGCTATCGGGTCGGCCACCAGCACGGAATGAAACTCGGGACCGAGCTTGGATTTTACAGGGGCGCTGCCAGAGCGTGGATCGAATCTTCGCAAGGAGCAAGTGAATCCAAAGGTGTTGGTGCGATGAAGACTGTGATTGAATTGCTGGACAAATTTCCTACGATGATAACTAAAGACGTTGATGTCAACGAGGAGATGAACAAAGTGAGGGCCGCCTATCGGAAAGCCTGCTCCCTTTTAAAAATTGATGCTGTATCCCCAACCACAACTACTCTTTCCTTTTAATTAATTTGGTTTTTCAATCAATAAAATAAATATTATATAGCATCAAAGACTTTTATTTGAAAAAGACTGATAGAAATGATAATTATTATTAAACTGGGGGCTTTCTTTACAACTTGGCACATATGTAAAATAATTTGATAGCAATTGGGAAATGCAAATTACAATCTTAATCTTAAATTGGCCTTAATCTTCAGCATCTCTATCAAGTCTGTTGACGACTTTGATGAACTGCTCGAACATGCCTTTGGCTGCTTGGGCAACAGATGAAATTCTATACTCCGGGCTCAAACTTGGAATGGCTTCGACAAGTTTGGCTCGTTCCATCACCCGCAGCAGTCCCTTTTTCTCAGCTCTCTCATGCACCCGCTGCAAAACATTCAATTTATCCTCAACAATACCAAATTGTCACAGGAAAACTTACTCGATTTTGTTTATCAGCCTCCTGCTTCAAAAAGTCCATGTAACCCTCCATTTCATCCTCATCCTCCTGATTGCAGCCCTTGAGCTTCAAAATGAAGCAAACTCGTTGGGCTTGTTTCTAAAAATTAATTCATCAGCATGCAGAAATTTGCATACATTACTCTTTACTTTTCCCATCTTCAGCTTTTGTTTGGCAATTTTCTCCATTTCCTTCGAGAAACGCTTTTTGACATTTTTGGCAGAAAACTCAGGCAGCTTCATGCAGGTTAGACAGTCAACAAAATCACGCAGCCTTTGGAATTCAGGAGAGGGGCTCTCGACTAAAGAAATGAATTAATAGTAATAAAATTAACAAAAACATTATTTTATTAACCTGAAACGTCAGTCACTTCGGGTTTGCCTCTGTAAAAGTTGAATGTGGTTGTAAGCAGTTCAACTCCAAGTCCAGCTTTTTGAAAGGGTGGTAGGATGAGCATCTGGCTGACCCTGGGTCTAATGTTGTCAGGGTAGCAGTAGAACTCGTAGGTCGAAACGAATCCAGCGAAAGCAAAACGAGGCTTGCCGTCGTGCTTGTACTTCTCAAATCTGAAGATTATTTATTTTAATAATTTTAAATAAATTATTTATTTAATTGATTAAATTACAGCAGGAAGAAGTTCCACTTTGTGTCTTCCAGATCTACAAAACTGGCTGCTTCAATGTACCACATGATGAAGGTCTGCATTCGCTCACAGTAGGCCTGCATTTTGGTATCTTGAGAAGTGGCGTGGTAGATTTCGTAGGTTTGATCTCCATCCTCTAAAGAATGAGTTATTACTTTTGATAATGGTTAATTGTAAACAAAAAATTTACCAGTTTCCACTTTGAACTCGTGGATTTTATCACCGGGAGGTTGGAACTTGTCCTCCTCTTCTTTGAGACCAATGCTGAAGTTGTCAACTGACGTGAGGTAGCCCTTTGGCAAGTAATCCTTTAACTTCTCTTCCACATTTTCAGCCTGCATATATTCTTAATTAAATTTTTTTCATAAATTAGAAAAAAGTTTTACCTCAAACAAGTCTGGATCAACTTTTTTTGAGTAAGTGATATTGAGAAGAGTCTTCAGACTTCCAGCTCCATAAAGCAGATCAACTTTCAAATCTTTGTATCCAGCAATAATTTCTCTATAATTTTTAAATTTTCACAATAATAAAAATAAAATTAATAAATATAAAAGTCATACTTTTGACCAAACACTTGATACGTCATTTCCGGCTTGAAACTTAAATCAGAATCCTGCATGTCTTGTACAGTCCTTACTAATTTGATGTTCATGGCCTCAACACTGTCAGTAGCCCATGATGCCAGACCATACGGATTCATGTTCAGAGCTGCAATAAAATTTAAATTTAGCGTAAATACAAAATTTTTCAAGCACAGTAATTGTCTGAAAAATCATCAATCTAATAAAAAATTAGTTTTGTAGGCGCTGCCTATTAATAAATTGTGGAGTTTTAAGCAAAATTTAAATTTTTTAGCTAGGGTTGGAGCAATTTTTTTCAACCATAATCTTTCTCTAGCAACAAGTGATTTAGAAACAAAATGTAAAAGCTACGGTCAAATATAAACTGTCAACAATGATGTCAACGTTAACAATAAAACTGTGCCAAAATTAGCCATTGTATAAAGTGTTATTACATAGCTAAAAATAATGTTATAACCCATAAATCGAAAATAAAAATAGAGATCTTAGATAACGCGTGACGCTATATTCTGCAGCTAAGAAGGAGTCGACTCACAGCTCCAAACAGTAGCCTCTTTCGACTCAGGTTTGACAAGTTCGAACAAGTAAAAGGGCTCCTCTCCGCCGACTTCACTTCCCTCTTCGTCTGAAATGCGCAGTGACTGAATAAATGACTGAGATCGAGCGAGAAAGAATTGCATACCGTAAACTTCGGACGGTGGTTCCATGGCTGATTTCAAGCGAGTGTCGGAGAAGATTTAGGGAAAGTGTAAAAAGTATCAGAATGTCACTTCGGGTGTCAACAAAACGCGCCCGGCTGTTGTGATTCGCGGGAATCGGCATTTTTTAGTTTCCTTTGTCACCACTACGTGGCTCTGAAAATCGATTTAAATTCTGGAATTAAACTGAAATGTTTCATTAATCGGCCAGCAAAACAGTCCAAAACATATAAAAAATTATTCTGTGAATTATTTTGCACATTATTGAAGGATATTGAACGAAAACCAGACTAAATTTGATGCCATTTCGGGAAGAAAGTACGTGCACGCAGCCATGTTGACCCCGTAGCTCGACGTCATTTCCTTTTCCGGCGGCCCACTCTGCAGTCGCAACCATGCCTGTAAGTATCGTGTGGCACACGTGCCTATTTTATCCGGAAAACCGCTGATTTTACCCCGATTTGCGCCTTTTTGCAACCGCCTCGGATGTATTTCCTAGTTATGCGGCCTATCTCGCGACCCGGCCGGACTTTCGGCCGCCGACTTCACGAATTATCACTTTGACGCTCCAAAACATGCCCGCCGTGACATGCCTCCCTATGGCTAGCACGCACGTTTTACGTAACTACTTAACAGAAAAACGCACCTTTTACTGCCAAATACGCGCATTCGATTCACTTTTGTAACGCCATCCTCCTGAATCTGCGACTTGCGCTCAGTTTTTGACCAAAATATTCCTGTTCCAGCTCGCAAAGGATCTACTTCATCCGTCACCAGCTGAGGAGAAAAGAAAACACAAGCTGAAGAGGCTAGTGCAGCATCCTAATTCATATTTCATGGATGTCAAATGCCCTGGTGAGTAAAACTTGCCATTTACTAGGTGAAACTAATTAAGAAATTTTAAAATTCAAGCTAGTCAAAAATAGATTTGTACTTTTAATCTCTACCTGGTTTTGCACCAGTTTGTATACAAACATAAGGCTGTTGAGCCACTGCATGCAACTGATAATGACGCCTTATTCACATTCAAACCTGTCTTAACCTTCTGCTCAAGCTCTTTGCTAAATTTTATTAATAAAATCATTCAATACTTCAAAATCTACATGTATGTATTCAATTTGTGTTCGTATTTTCGCAGGCTGTTACAAGATCACAACAGTTTTTAGCCATGCCCAGAGTGTAGTTGTTTGTGCAGGCTGCTCAACCATCCTGTGTCAACCAACTGGCGGAAGGGCGAGGTTAACAGAAGGTACTAAATCTGCAAATAATCTAGATCCAAAAACTATTTCTGATCATTGCTCTCAAATTGTTTCAGGCTGTTCTTTCAGAAGAAAGCAGCACTAGGAGTTTCACTGATCTATAAAAGGAAAGAAAACACCTTGGATGACTGGCTTTGTATTGTTACGAAATTCCACTGATTTTTTTAAATTCAAATAAAGCTATTCAAGGGAAACAAGCACCTTTAACTCTTCTCGCAATCCCTTCTTAATTATATATGGGAAAAAAACAATTCAATGATTTTAAATTATTATTATTATTAAATATCACAAATTAACAAACGAATCAGCTTAGTAAGTATATTGACATCTTGATCATTCTGCGATTGCATAATTGTCAGACTTGCAATTGGAATGTATAGTTTTATTGCACCAGGTATTCCTTGTAGTTTTTAATGCTCTTGAGCTGCTTTTTGATCTGCTTGATCAAGTCGAAAGGGTGGATCAGAATTGACATGTCTCTGCCAACTGCGTTCAGTCTATCCCTGACCTCGCTGTCTTTGAAAAACAAATTCAGCGGCCGGCTGTTGACCTCGGTCAGTACCCAGTTGCAGAGGGAGAGGCCATCACAGGAGGGCGCCTTTGGTGGAACTCCTGCCCGGGCTGCGGGACTCAGGTGGCGCACACTTTTTATCTCGGCGGTGCTGCCCTCTAATTCAAGACCCACATCTTGGCCTTCGACGTCCTTTCGAATTGCGAATACTCGGCCAAAGGGCACTCGTCTCACAATAATTTCAATCTAGAAAATGTGAAATAGTTTATTATGAAAGGGATAGCCTCTCATCTTTAATAACTGACTTTAGTCTTCATTACAAGGAACAATTTAAAATTCATCTTAAATCTGACCTCTCAAAGAAAAGCAGTGGCGAAAGTCTTATTTTCAATCATTTCCATGCTCATTAAAAATGATTTCGCTTTTAATTTTTGCCCCATACAACAATTAGTGTCAATATCTTTTTGATAAATTGTGAATTAGAAAATTAGCTCCTTTGTAAATAATAAAATAAACAGTATTCCTAATTCAATGAGAATTAACTAGTTAAAACATCTGCATTTACATGATAACACGATTGTACTAAATAAAAAAATATTATGTAGTGAAATTTAACTATGATTACGGGTTGGTTTTATGATAGGACACCCCATTGTTGCGCGCGCATTTCCAATGTTAAAAATATTGAAAAATCTTACAAATGGTGAACAGCAGGCTTTGATGAGATTGTTTGCCTCGGATGCATTAGGAACAAGAACTCCAGTGACGCTGAGAACCCTGTCACCAATATGGAGTGCATTGTAGAGATGAGGGTGGACCTTTTGCTTCCAACCAGCAATCCTGCAATTAGGGGTTCCGATGTTATTAATTTTTATATATTATTATATTATCGGCAGTAATTTTTTTTACTACATTACTAAGAGCTTAACTATACAGGGAACTTTGATTGAGTATAAAATTAAGGGGATTGTTTGGTTTTTTTTTATAATAAATCAAATTTTTGGTCTAAGCTGATAAAGTTCGAATGCCTAGTATAAGTTTTACTTATAAAAAACAATTTTTTTTATCAAATTCACGCACTGATATGGATATAATTATTAATTTGAATGAATTTGATTTTTAAGAGCTGCTCTTGTATTAAAAACCTACCAAACAGCCCCAAAAGCGTCAACAAAGGCAACCGAGCTAATGCAGTCCTTCTTTCTCAGCTGCAATCTGACGCCGCCCGGGTGTCTTATCTCTCTGGTGATTTCCAACACCTGCTGCTCCCGAAGAGTCAAAACTGGAGGCAGCATCGGCGGTCGCAAAAGAGGTCTCCGGGGGAGATCAAGCCGAGGCCCCCGTTTCCTCCTAGGGGTGTCATGCACCCTTCCTGGAGGCAGAGTAGGTCGTCTCTCTTCACTCCTAGGAGGGGGAGGCGCCTGCCTCACAGAATTTCCTTCAGACTCATTTTGGCGCTCGGGAGGGTTGGAAGGAGTGGCGGACGTTTCAGGCTGCTCGCTGGCCATGAGCAGCGGGGACATGGGCTCGTTAGGGTCCGTCTGGCTAGTGTGGCCCAGGTAGAGGCGCTCGTACTGACTGAGTTCTGTGTCACTGATGGTGCTGCTGATCACATCAAAGTTGAACACCCCCGAGCCTGAGGGGGCTGAGGATGGGGACGGACCTTCCAGTTCGATCACAGTTACGTTTTGGCCAGATTCCACGTTGACAGATATAGATCTGGAATTTTTAAATAGCTAAAAAAATCCAAATAAATTTTTTTTTAATTATCATACCTGGAGAAAATATTTGAATTGGTGCTCGAATCTTGAGTTGTTGAGGGTCTTGGGCTCGCACTTGCAGCACTAGTCTCAGATCTGGGATTGAAATTCACACTAACTGTAGTTGTGGACTGATTTGTTGAATCACTCTGAACACGATCTAATATTAAACAAAACGTTTTAATTATCATTAATTCATTAATAACCCAAAAATTGAAAAGAAAATATCAATCTAACGTATATAGGATTTAAAGTAATTTGTGTTAATTTTTTACCAAATTATTTTTAATTTTCAATAATATTAAATTTACCAGCTGATTGCTGAGGGGGCAGTTCTGTTCCAGGAACAATTGCCAAGGGTCCTGCTGGGGTAGGGGGGAGTGGAGAGTTTGGGTCTCTGGTGGGCAGCAGAGGAAATCGAGGGGCCTGTGGAGCTTGGGTGTAGACATTCTCCTGGGGAGAAAGGATTTTCATTTCGACCAGTTTGGACCGCAAAGAGTTGACCCAGTCCATCATGATGTCCCTAAGTATTTTGAATAATCATTTGAAATTAATGGGGCTGATATTAATTTTAATTAAGTTATACTACCAAGAAGTTGCTGCCAATTTGATAACGCCATTCCTCAAAGTAATGACAAACTCATACTGGTCGCCTGGCGCTGCACATATAGTGGGAGATATGTGCAGACAGGTGGCCAAAGGGGCGCACCAGTCAGGCCGGTGCGAGATGGCCACCTTCTGGTCCAGGTAGACCTCGAGGAATGGCTCTCGGTCGTCATGGACGCAAAACACAACCCACACGTTTTCGCCTCGCTTTGGATAGGCTCCACCAGCTGAAATTAAAAAATCTGATTTTTGATCGCAATTATGTATTATTAGATTTACCAGAATTTTTAGAATTAGATGAGATTCTCCGAAGCCAGGCGTTTTTGTAAATCTCTCGAAACACAACCTGTGCAGTTTGGTCAGCTGCCTGAGTGACTGAAATTTTGTAAATTTATGAAAAAATTTCGTTTGTACCACAAAATCAAATTAAAATTCTTCTTACAATTCTGCTGATTGGCAGCAGGACTTCTGGTGACCGCTTCCATCTGAAATCGGTGTGGCCTTGCAAGGTCCTTGCCTGAGGGGGAGAGAAAGTGTTGCTTTTCATCAAATTTTACACCCATATGCGGAAAAACAAGAAATATATTTTTATATTGCTGGAATGTTTGCAAAGGAAAAGATTGAGATGGATTTTTAAAAGTACCTTGATAAATGCATGCAGCCGAAGAGTGTGGGTTGGATCGGCGGCCCTGACGGGAAAAATGATTTCATGAGAAAATTCTCATTTTGGCACATTCGCGTTCGCACGCTCGGAACAATAATAACAAAAATAAAAGAATAATTGACTGGGTAGTGCGGAAAGGAGTTGAGAAGTGGAGTTGGGACTTTTAAGAAGATTCATTTAGAATAGCAGCATGCTATTGGTGCTTTTGAAGGTCGGCGCGGATGTTTCGGAGAGAAATCGCGAGTTGATTTCTAAAATGGTCCATAGAGAGCGCCGATTTGTCAATCTTGGATTTTGTACAACAGCGGGAGACAAAAATTGATAGTATTATTTTACATTATTATACAAATAACTTAACTTCGTATAACTTTGATAAACAAAATTCAATAAAATTTTGAGGATGTGAAATTATAAAATACTTTTATCAAATGGTTTAAATTATTAAAAATATTTCACACATGTAATTCAATTGAAACTATTTTTTCCTGTTAGCTTGTTAGGAAACTCATTTAGTGGTAAATTAAATTTTGTATACATATTTCCACATATTTATAAATTGTGTGCTAGCTTGGAAGCGACTTTTCATTCCAAAGGTTTCTCTTTCCTGAAAGTTCGGGGAAGTGTGATACGCACTTTTATAATGAATGTTCAAAAGATGTATCGATGTATGTTATGTTTGATACGTTCAACGCGTTCAACCTTTTCAAAATTGTAACCATAGTTACGCGGCGCCGATGTTTTGAGAAATACGTACACGTCATTCGAAAGTCTTTTTTCCGTAAGATGCTTTCCTCTGTCTGGCAATAACACACGTACATATAACCCATATAACAACTAAATACCTCCACAAAACTAAAAAAAAAAATGTTTTTGAGCAAATTGAAGAAAATCAAGGAAAGTTCCAAAGGTGCGCCAAATAATCACAGTAAAGATGAAAACAAGGTAAATATAGTTAAGGGCAGGCGAAAAAACTTTAACACAATTTTGGTTTGAAAAAAAGTGAAAAAAGTCAATTTTGAGTGAAAAGGTAAATTTTAATTTTATTCATTCAAATTATAGAAAAAGTGTAATTTTGTTAAATAATGCGCAGACGGTAGTATTTTTTACTCAATAATTTTTTACACAAAAATTACTATAAAGCACGCATACTATTAAATATAAATAATAATCTTAATCCTCAAGCCTTTCTTAATTTTCCAAATATCTGTTTTTTTCATCTGTACAATTTTACAAATTTTAGATTATTTTTTTTTTGCAAAAATTCAAATTCCTCAGAATAATAATAATAAAAAATTCAATTACATTGGAAATGGTTAGGAATAACAAAATATGCGTTTAGAATAATTGAAATGTTAATAATAAAAATTTGTGACAGCTTTCGCGGCTGGCAGATCCAGGAGCACCAAAACCTTTGGTGGACCCTTTTATAGAACGCGACCTGCAGGCAAGAGATTTTTTTCGTAATAATTTCCCATTCAAGCACTTATGCACGTCTGGAAAGTTTAGAAACCGAGCGATCGCGACCAATTTTTATCCGCAAAGAAGAGCTGCTGCTTTTCCGCAAAGAGCTCCATCGAGAAATCAGACGGTCACCGACTTTCCGAAGCCGACTCTTTGCGCCTGCAGGAGATTTTAAGGGTATATTTTTTATGCACCACGGAATGGAATTGAGAAAGAGAGAATGAAGGCAGAGAGAGGTGAAAAGCAATAATCGTTTCAGAAAAATCACGCCCTTGATGGAAATGTGTGTGATGCGGCGGCGGCGGAAACACCCGCGGGAGAAATAATCGGGCAGAAATTAGAGGAGAAAATTGGTCTGCACGAATTGGAGACTCTCAAGCTGCTGGAAATTCAAAGCACGGCCGCGCCTAAGGACCTCTTAGTGCCTGATGCAAATATTGAATTGGAGCCTGCCGCGGTATTAAAACTTTAAAAATCAACAAAATGCAAATATAAAAAAAATTAAATAGGAGAGTGGCAGGAACAAACTAGTGGACGCCAAAACGCAGACCATGAACCTGCTCAAGCAGCACAAGGCGACCCTGACGACTCCGATTTTATCTCAGGTATGTTAAGTATGAAAACACTTGAAACGGTATACGGAGATAACAGAGAAGGAGCAGAGTTTGCACAAGAATTAATTAAAAAAATTGTGGAGAGTGCAACAATTTGAACACATCTGACTTTGAGATACTATTCACAACTTTTTTTACTTGAAATTATTAACATCAACAAGTTTTTAACGAAATTTTAAATATTAACCCCCAATTTGAGGGATTTCAATGAATTAATCTTTTTTCTTTCCACACAAAACTAAATTAATAAAGGACTTTTGGTTTACATTTTTTACTCCAATTTTGTATTGTTTTAATTATTTAGTACATTAAAATTTTTTTAATTGCATTATTATTATTCTGATTGATTCTGATAATAAAACACAAAGCATGCACAACTTTTCGGTGAAAGCAAAATTTAAGTATTTTGATGCGGAGAACAGGATGTGGAATGCGAGGCGACGATTTGGAGCCTGTACGACTCGTCTCTCGATCAAGGTACTTTATAAAAACCCTTTGGCTTTCGATTTGATCTCGCATTGATCTATTCCGGGCACGCAAAAAGGTGTCGACAGCCGAGCGGACGAGTTGAATCCGAAATTCATCTCGCTGGAGTGGCGCGAGCAGAGGCGGTCGGCGGCGACGGACGACGGCTGGCAGCAAAAAGCGGCGCCGCTCCTCTGCAACGCGGCCATGGTGATTGAGCGCTTCCTTGCGTCCAACCTCTGCAAAAATCAGCAGGCCATGTACTTCGGCCGGCCCACAAAAATAGGTATTTCTCATTACAAACTTGCTGGAATGAATCGACTCTGACTTGCATCTCATTTGCAGATGGTGTAAAAACGCACTCGCGCTTCCAGTACGAACTTTGCCCTTTGTGGACTTATTGCAACGCAAGCACAAAGAATAAAGCGGTCATGTGCATGGCGTGGAACACAACAAACTCAGTAAATAATTAATATAAAATACAATCTAAACTAAATTTTTATTCAAAAAGTTATTAAAAAAATATATATATATTTTGTATGTTTTCTTGAAAATATTGAGTGGCTTCTGCTGTAAAAAATGGTCCGATTAATTATTATGGAATTTTTTTATTCATTAGAAATTGTGATTTGAGATGTACATTTCCAAGGAAACCATGAAAGAAGAAAAATTTTATTAATTCATTAAGACAACCTTCTGCCTTATACACTGATTTGGTTTCTACTGACAATGAGAACTAAATTTTATGAATATTAAAATTGCTAGTTCTTATTGGAATTTCCTTTAAATAATTTTTATCTAACAAAAGGCTTGATTAAAATTGTTGAAAAGTTCCCCAACATAATTTCATTTTACGCCAATCAAGTTGGAATAATATAATCAGTAGGTATCTCAACAATTTGACCTTAAACATTCAAGTAAATTTAGTTTCAGTGCAGATTTAAGTGCTAGCTTATTGTTAAATTTTAAAATAACAATTTTATAAAAATCGCTGCAAACATAACAATTTTACAAAAATATAAACAAGTCGTATATATGAGCCATAAAAAGATCCGCGCTTAAGGGAGTGCGAGAGACTTGAAATGTTCTTTTTTTCAAATCAAGTCGTATTTAATTTGTTATTTTTTTAATTATTTAAAAATTAATTTTTTAAGCAGAAAAAATAAGAAAATAACATTAAATCCAACGTAATCTAAATTTTTTAATTAAAATTTCTAATTATCTACTTTAAAAATTTGCAATTTATAGAATATTTTGGCCGTGGGTTATGGTCAGTTTCTGGCGAGCGAGGAAAAGCAAGGTGGTCTGGTGTGTTGCTGGATGACAAAAAACCCAACGCAGCCGGAGCGGAGCTACCGTTTTGCGCACTCCGTCACCGCGCTCGCCTTTTCGCTCAACTCGCGGCTGCTGCTGGTGGCCCTCGAAAACGGCCAAATTGTTTTACTCGACGTGTCTTTCGTAGAGAAACGAGTTCTTGCACAGACGAGGTGCCTATTAAAATGAGATTTGACTGATTGTATAAAAAGAAATATTGCTTTTGCAGCTTGGAAGATGGGGGGCACATGGGCCCCGTGTGGGTCCTGCGAAGCGTCCGTTGGACGAACGGCGCAGAGGCAATCGCGTCGGCCGGCGACGACGGCCAACTGTTGATTTGGACGCTGAATTTCGCCCGATTAGGTTTCCTCTCTCAACAAATTGTATTTTTTATCAAAGAGGGTTTGAAACGCTTTTTCCTTAAAGGACGGCTGCACACCCGAATACAAATCAGCAGTTTCGCGGAACAGGTTGACGCGGCCTCTTCGCAACTCCCCATCCATCAATTCTACTCGATTACCGACTTTTCCATTTCAGAAGGAGAGCAACCCATGATTTACTTGGCCACCAAAGAAGGCGTTCTCCTTGAGGTCGAGTTAAAACTTAGATTTTGAAATTTCCTAAAACCCTATATGAGATTTAATTACACTAGCTGGATTGAACCATCTCAAAATAGCAAAAAAATTCCTGACTTAAAATAACCAGAAAAACTTCTTTAATTCAAAATTCAAAATGTGTCATTTTGTTTTTTTCAAAAAATTCGTATTATTTTTTTCACTTGAAATTAATCATTTATATTCCAAAATCAGCTGTGAAAAGCTGAAGAGTTTTTAATTTTCTCAAATGCTAAAATGAACCCAGATAGCGCTTCGTCATTGTGACTAACTTTTACTTAATTGGTTAAAGTTCAAAAGGAACAATAATCTGCCCTTTGGAATTAAGTACATATACAAGAAAACACAATTATGCTCAGTAATATATAATTTGGAAAAAATGCTAGATGGTTCCATTCATGCTTAAAAAGAGATTTTGTGTCCCTTATCAAATTTTGAGGGTCGGGGAGAAAAGCTGAAATGTCATTCCACGAACGTGCAATTAATTCACACACACAATCTGTCGCAAAAAGCAGGTCAGTCCCCCCGTCATAGTTTTATCGAGAATCCCTTGTATGTGTGTGCGAGAGTGAATAAAACTCGTGCTGTACGCCAAGGGGGAAATATGAGGCAAAGTTTGCCAGGTTATTAGCGCGTGCAGAGTGGTGTGTGTCAGACAAATAACGTGTGTGTCCGTCTCCCTGGGCGAGAGGGCGACGTGTGCACCAGCCAGCATTTTGTAATTTGCGCATGGAAATAGGTGGAGATGGAGTTGCAGATTCAGCGCGCCGTAAGGGCTCATCTGGGCCCCATCTATAAGGTGCAGGTCTCGCCGTTCTGCCGGCAACTCGCGTTGACAGCCGCCGCCGACGGAAAAGTGCTCCTGTGGGCGCCTTCCTCCAAAAACGCCCCGATTCTATCGCTCACCGTGTCCGCCGTGCGTATTTACGACTCCATATGCACGCCACTTAAATAAAATATAATAGAAATAAATAAATGATGTCGCATTTGTCCTCTGAAAAGAGCTCTCTACGTTAAAAGCGCGGCCCGAGCATCGTTCTAAAATTCAAAACACACGTTAAATTTTGAATGAAATGGAGCGAAACCTCTTTTAAATATTTTATATAATTCAAATGTATATATGTAAATGCTAAACTTCATTAGAGGGGATATGTTAATTTTTATTTGAAAAATATTAATTTTGAACGAACTTCAACGTTTCTCTCAGTTTCTCCGAGGAAAAAGATAATTTTTGCTAGAGAAACCTTACAGACTATAATTATATTAATAACAGTTTAAATTTTTGTCAAAATCATATATTTAAAATTGATTAAGTCGTTCTGATTTTACAGAGACATATCAAAATCCTATAAACGAAGTCACGATCTTCTGGAAGTTTAGTTTTCCATATATTTCTTTTTTTAAATCTTCTTTAAAATTTCCCAGAAAAACTGATATTTAAAAAAAAATGCCATTACTTAAAAGTAGCATTTAATATAATCCCTAATAATAATCCGCAAAATAGTATAGTATTTTTGAAAAAAGAAAAGGAAAAATAATTATGCACACTCTAAATTTTTTTACATCCCCCCCCCCCTTGAATTGAATAATGAAGAACACGTCTTCTCTACTGCTTCTGCTCTTTTAGGGCATCGATGTTGACGCCGTGATCGGTGCCGAGTGGTCTCCTGCCTACTCGACTATTTTGGCGTGCGCCAGTGGCAAATTTCTCTCCATTTGGGACTTGGCGCGGAAAACCTATGAGCCAGTGACCAAAATCGACGTTGGCACCATGCTCACCAGTCTGATCTTCAGCCCCGACGGAATGGTCAGAATTTTATTTTTCAATAAAATAATTGCAAAAAAAATAATAATAAAATACTTCCAACAGAATGTTCTGGTAGGAGATCGCAGTGGCCAAGTCCATGTTTTCAGCCTTCAGGACATGCCGCACAAACCGTTGATGCAGGTAATACAACTTTAATTTAAAATTTTTCAGAGTTCATTTTATTTTGATCAGGTTGAGGCTTTAGTGAAAGCCATCCCAGGTTTTGTGCTGCAAGATGGCAGCAAATAAAAGGAGATCAGAGTCGCTTTCAGTTTAAAGATAAAAAGTTTTATTTAGAGAACTCCTTCAGCGAGATAAGATTTTTGAACAACAGTTCATCAAAAATATAAAAATCATTACAATTTCTGGAGATACTCGTCGAACAAGAAAAGGGCGAGGCTACCATCAGCAGTCTCGTGCAACATATTTATCAAGTCGTTCGTGTGACCTGACAGGGTGCGCACCGTTTCTGTGTGTTTGCTCAAGAAGTTGTTCTCCAGGAAAGAGGAAACCTGAAATTATTCCGTAAAAGGATCAATAACGCTGGAGATGATGAAACCTCTCTCGCTTGACTTACATCTGGATCGTACTGTTTTTTAGTTTCATCAGAGTCTGAAAAATGTTTGTGGAGGTTGTGCGCCTCTACGGCTAGGGACTTATGTAGATCGAGCACCGTGGCCAAACTGCCGACCTCGTGTTTGGTGAAAGTATCCTGAGACAAAACAGAAATTAATATAGATTAATATTGAAAAAAACGGAATTGAAATTTCAATTGTGAAACCTTGCTAATGTCGACGTCGTTGACTGTGGCGTTAACGGAGATGTGTGAGCCGCGCTTGGCCGAGTATTTGATCAGCTCAATGGCGTCGTTCCACGCCTCGTCGGACAGGCCCCGGTAAAGTTTTTCCAAACCGGCCCTGTTCGCCTCGTAGTTGCTGAAGTGCGTAGAGAACATCAAGTACTGGAAGTTGCGCTGCACATTCGTCTTGATGAAATCGGCCATCTTTTCCTTGTGCTCCTCAAATCCGCCAAATAACGAGTTGCATTGCAGCTCAGGTGGCGATTTTCCTTTTTTTTTTAAATTGTAATGAAGGTCGTTAATAAAAATTAATCAATTAAAAAAAGCGATAATTCTAAAGAATATTTTATGAAAAACTTCAATAAATAAAAGCAGTTGGCTGAGTTGACACATAATAAATATGTGCCAAAAGTATAAAAGATAATTATTGTAAAGACTGCCTATTAAGTTGTCCGTGGGGGAAGATTAAGTGACGTTTTATCGGCTAATTGAAGCTATAAAATATAAATATTTTTGATCGATTTTTTTGCAACCAACATTTTTCATAGTTTTTACTTAATTTGACAAAGGGCGTTTGACGTTTTGAGACCTGTGATTATTATTTCAAAGGCCCTCAAAAATACCAAATAATAATTTAAAAAAAATTATATCAGTTTTTTAGTTGAGAAAATAAGGAAAAATTAAAATTTCGCATCATGAAAATTACCGTCACATTTTTTCTCGACTCCCCTGTAGCACTGGCCCGCGGGGGCCTGCAATTTGGTGGCTAAGGTGATGGTGGCCCCGTCGTCGGCGGCGGCAGCGGCCGCTGCCAGAAGGCACGCAATTACCATTAGAGATTTCATTTGGCTCGCTTTGGGCATCCGCCGCTGTTGAACCTCTTCTTCTGACTGAGGCCAATTGTCATGTGATAATCTCGCTCGCTCAAGTGCTGTCGCAATCGCCCGCCGCCGACAAACGCCGCAACAGCGAGAACGTGCGTCGCCCCACAAACCATTTAAAATCATTTTTAATCACATTTTATTTTGAAAAATTTCAGGTACTCAATTTATAAATTTATAGCTTATACTCATAATGCATTTTTTTTGGTTTAAATACAAAATTAATTAAAATCTATGCAGAAAAGAACTTCATTCAATTTTTTTTCTACAATTTAATTTATAGGGGGTGCTTTTCCTGACGTACGTCCTTGCTGCCCTTGGTGGATGATTCATTTTATTTCTGGAAGGCGGATTGTGAAATTCTCTGTGCAAACACATATCTTGGTGGAAAAACAAATTTGTCGTGCAGTCTCAAGTGGTGCGCGCTGTCGCATCTTGAGCCGAGGTCGTGGTGCAGTGTGCGATACGGCGCGGCCGCTCTCGGTTAGTAACCATTATCTCGTGATTAAACATTTGATTCACTACCGCCGCGACCAGTGCCCACTCAGATTTTCCTATTGTTGTCACACCAACGCGCAGGCAGGAAACTCCAGTTATGAAGGTTCTGCTCGCCTCTTTGGCCACCGTCTTGGCACTGGTGGCCGTCGTCATCGCCCAAACACCCGAGGTGACCAAACCCCTATGTGAGTAAAATGAGATTTTTTAATTTTTTTTTTCAATCCAGCCCAACCCCTTTACATAAATCCACTCATTTGCAAAGATAATAATTTAAAAATTAATCCAAGCTTTATATAGAATAATGTTTTTTCTTTTACTTTTCTGAGAGTATAGATTTGTCACAAAGTTGCACACATGTTGCATGAAAGTCGCAGTCATCACTTCAACTATTTTCTACATCTTCTGCAGTTAGTCACACTTTTTATTTGTGCAGCTGCAGCCGCGCAAATACATACACGCGTCTGGCTCAAAGGTCACGCGACGCATCAATCAATTAAGTGCTTTAGTAGAAACTTAGATTCTACTTAATGATAACCATTAGCTCTATTGTAAAATCTAGCAAAAGAGAAAACATGAAAAAAGGAATCTAATTAATTGCTAGCATATGAGAAAACTATTTATTTTTCATAAAACAGGAAAACTAAATATTTGAGAAATTATAAGACAGTACAGGTTGTAGAGCAATTCTGCAAAAATTGTTTGAATTTCAAAAATTCTAGCGCGCTCCACAAATGCCAAAATTGTCATATTCCCCTTTGTTAACTTTATATTTCAATGTTATTACTCGCGAAAAGTAAAGATCCGATTTTGTTGCTTACTGATATAATTATAATCCCAGGTGAAGTGGGACAAATTATTAGCCATTCCAGAGATTTTATAAAAATCATGATGGTATCTCAAAAACATGTTGCATCAAAACTGCCTAATGAATTTATTACATGATGCAAGCTTTGATAGCTGGAAATAACTTTTTATTTATATTGTATAATGAAAAAAAATTAAACCTGGAACTTATTATTTAAATAAGAAATTTTTCACTATTATCATTTTAATATTTGATTATAATTATTTAATTTAACTTTACTCGATTAGATTTTGCATTTGTTCAAAGGTCAGGAGGTACATTTTATTGTAGGTTTTGTTTGAGTAAAAATTTTTGGTGAGACGGGTGAGCTGCGAGAGTTACTTTTGGTTTTGCCGCATAAACCATTTAATACATTTATATTTTTGCTCGTGCGCAAAAAAAAAAACGATTTAGCTGCAAAAGTTTTGTAATACACGCGCCTGTATCGATTGCACCTTTTACGCCGGGTGTGCGGTTTTTGGAGAGAAAACTTGACAGCGCATCGCACCCGCACACTCACAAACTGACTGACTGGGCCATTTTGCATGTGTGCCCTTATTTCTACCTCAAAAGTGAAAGCTTTGCCAAAATTTGACAACTGCTGGCAAACACAAAGATCATAAAACTAATTCAAAAATAATCTCACTAATATATTATTCACTCTCAATTATTATTCCAGTTTTATTATTTTTTAAGAAATCAATAAATTTTAAGCATATACTCAATGTCAGGTTCAAGCCCGGAGCTAAATGTAACATACAACTTTAAAGAGAAATGGAATACGATGGAGAGAAAATGCGTGAGGCAGGTGAAGGCGCAAGTCCATCGCGAACTTAAGGCGGCGATGCAGTACCTGGCGATGGTAGGTTTCTTTCCGTAGTGGAGGAGTTGGTTGGAGAGCGTTGTGTGGTTTCCAGGGCGCCCACTTCTCCAAGGACACGGTCAACAGACCAGGATTTGCGAAGTTGTTCTTTGAGGCGGCCAGCGAGGAGCGCGAACACGCCATCAAGCTGCTCTCCTACCTGTCTATGAGAGGCGATTTGATTCTGGATAAAGATAAGGACATCGTTGGAAAACTTGTAAGTTTAAAAAAAAATTACGTGGATTTTAGTTGTTGTTTTTTCAGACAGAAAATTTCTCAAAATTTCCATCCTTACCACTTATTTTCTAAGTTTGATTACAATCAATAATTTTTTATGAGACTTCTTTGGAAAATGCTTTGCATTTTTTTAAAATATTTATTTTAGAATTTCTATATTTGCAAAAAACTATTTTATCCAAAATTTCAAGGAAATCATTTTATTTTAAATTGTATTTGAATACCTGTGCACTGTATGGTCGCTTTATTGGCATAGTCAAATCAAGTTCTTACAACAATAAGAAGTCAATTTTTTTGATGACCATTAACCGTAAGAAGACGATTGAATAATTATATTAACCACCATTGTTAAAAAAAGATTTTATTTAGCCAATAGGGAGTCCTTGAAACAATCCGAGGATCTAAGGAGCTAAAGAAAAGCTTCTGCATTCAATACGATTAAATTATTTGACTTATAATTTTATTTTTGGTCTTTATGAATAAATCTAAATGTAATATTATGTATTATGACTGTGTAAAAATTGAGTGTTTTTTTATGGAATTTTGTAAATTTGTACCACAACTAAAGATTTTTCAAATTCATTTGTAGCAAAAAAAATAATTTTCTTTAATTGGGCAATTGTCTTCTGTGCCCGTTCAAAAAAAGGGCTGACGTGTGCTGGAAAAAAGCGCTTTTGATTGAATGAGTGACTGAAAAGCGTTTTAATTTGCTCTCGATTGTTTTACACGTGCAGACCGTGGAAAAAGAAGCTTGGGCAAGTGGCACAAGCGCTCTGAGAGACGCACTTGAAGTTGAAGCCAAGGTCACTGCCAACATCAGGGACCTCATCGTCTTTTGCGAAGGTGCAGGAAGAGATGAGATCAAGAACGACTACCACGTATACAACTTTTGACTTGATTTGCACGTGTTAGTACTAATTTTGAAACATTCAGCTCGTTGACTACCTGACCGCCGATTTTCTCACGGAGCAGTACCGAGGCCAACGCGACCTGGCCGGAAAACTGTACACCCTGGGAAAGATGCAGAAAAACCACGGCCACGCAAGCTTGGCTGAGTTCTTGTTCGACAAGAAGCTGCTCAATGGAGAAGCAGTTTGAGTCTCTCCTTCGAATCAGTTCTATTCTTTTGTATGATAATTTTTATATCAATGAAATTTATCCAAGTCAGTAAAAAGTTTTAATAATAAAACAAATTTATTACAATTATTTAATTTTAATTTAAAAAATAAACTAAGCTCCACATATCCCCAGTTTGAATTTTTTATTCAACTCTTTGATTGGAATCAGAAAAAGCAATGATTGACATTAATAGCCGATTTTTTTGCGATAAGCGTGTGCGTGAGAATAAGCACCTCTTAATAGAAATCTTATCAAGCACTTAATTGTCGCCGTTTGAGGAGCGGCATCCGCTTATCTAAAAACGTTTTAAATTGACGGTATAATGAACTGCAGTCAACCTTGATTTGATGATCTACAGAATTAAATTTATGTTTGCCATATGAGAACGTGATCAAAACTGCATCTTGACATCTGATGCAACACGCAATAACGTCAATCAAGCCCTAAACGATTACAAACTATAATTTGAGAAATTAAATGAAGAAAAAATAATGTATGCTTCAATAAGGGCTTGGATGAGAATGTAATTAAATTTCGCTCATCAACCCTTTATTAAAAAATATCCTTTAAATTTAGACAAAAACTAAATTTAATCCATTTATCCAATATTTTTTTGAAGAGGATTTGCATCTTTTCACTTCAAAGTTTTTCTGTTTATAAGAAAAAAATTATTAAAAAATTTCAATGAAAATAAATTGAATTTTTTTTTCAATCCAGTTTTTTTAGCGTTTTAAATTAAATCTTTTAATTATTAGTAAAAAAGAATTAAATCAACTTTATTTTTTATTAAAACTTGCAACTTTTTGTTCACTTTTGTCGCAAATAATTTTTTCCTATATGGTCATAATATGATTAAAATTTCCAATTTGTTTCTGATTTAAAATTTTGAAAAATATGTTTTCATTAGCTCGGTTTGATGGCTACCAGTTTTTATTTTAAGTAGAGTCATTCCGCTCCAGATGAAAACTTTGGCATTTTTATATTTAATATAGATTTTCTCTAATTAGGCTCAAAGTTTCCTGAATATTATTTTCTGCTCAGTCAAATTTTAGTGCGAGGAAACCTTTTTAGTATACAATCTTCTGTATCTATGTAAAATTTACTCGTGAGAATTTTACTTTCTGATCAGTTTGACGCAAACGAGATTTGCCTTGGGCGCTGTGTTCTTCCATTTCCTGATTTTTATTAAGATAGACCGGCGTTCTTGTCGACAAGGGATGCCGAAAATATTAGCCTGGCCGCTGCAACAGGGCGTGTTTATGATAAGGTTGAATTGGCCGATCCTCCCCAGAGAGACGTGCCCTGCATGGAAAGCAACGAGTGGAAAGGAAAGTAGTGCAGCCAGCAGAGAGAGTCATTCATTATTTCGGTGAATTAACAGCAAACAGGGTCGATTCGACCCCCGAGTAGCTGCGGTCGCACCAAATCCCATTTATTTACAGACACAGGTGGAACAAAAACGCCGACGAGTCTTTATATAAGTCTTAACTCAAAACACAAACACCTCTGGCGAGGAAAGAATAAAAGGTCCTGGGAGTTGCCTGGAGCAAAAGAGGAAAGAAAAGGAGCTGCTTGATTTTTCGCGATCGTCTCCAGGGGATTTGCCGCTCTGTCCGCACACGACAAATTATAATTTAGGGAGAGCTGCGAGGATCCGACGCGCGTGTTGCACCTGCGGGGGCCGCAAAGCTTTCCGAGAACACACAGAAACACATGGGTGGCCGAAAGTGGGAAAATTACATAAGGAAAAATGGAAAAATACCATGAAAAAGAGGAATTATTCAGAGCAAATTTTATTCAACAGTGGAAGAAATTTAAATTTGAGGTCCTCAATATTTACAAATTAAAGGTGAATTTAAATAAATTATAAAATTTGAGCAAAAAAAAAGACATTTTATTCCACCAGATTATTGAAAATGGTGAGAAAATCCGATTTAGAAATCGGACTTTTCCTTTTAAAGCTCTCTTCTGCGAAAATTCAATTGATGTGCAGTTTAAAGTCACAAAAAAATATCTGACAATAAAATTTAAAATAATTAACCCGATAAATCAAAAGTAAAGCGATAAATTTTTTCTCCAAACATATAGCATTTCCATTGGTTCTAACTTATCTTCCTTATTATTGTTAGTTCAGACTTCAGACTATGTTGACGGTATAATATCCACTTCATTCATACTCAATCTCACATTAGCTCTGAAAAAAACCGATTTTGTTGAGCCCATATTATGCAAATTGGGAAAGTTTTGAACAAAAGAAAAATACGTTTGAAGTTGTTGCAAGCGAGTGGGGCCAAGTTCGTCAAGTGGTTGTTGCATCGTGCGCGCTCGCCAGTGAGTGTAATTAGGATGACACTAATAAAAAGGGGTTGTTAGCGGCCCTAACTAGTCGTGCACGTGGGGCATAGGTGCGCGTGCTGGAGTGGCCGAGCGCAAAACAAGCTTCACTCTCTCCGCCGCCAACAGGACACTTGTCAGATCTGCGCGATGTTGACAAATAACCTCCCCACACAGCAGTGAAATTCAGTCTCTTTTTTATAAAAAAAAATCAGCAGAATTAAAAAGAAGTTTATAGTTGTAATGTTTTTTTTTTCATTTGCAGCCTAAAGAAACGTCAAAAAGAGCAATTATGAATTTGATTTAAAACGTTTTAGCCAAATTCTTGCTAGTGTTTGTGCTGGTTAGTCCAACAATTTCTATTTCTTTAAAACAAGTTGTTTTTAAATAATTGAATTTAAAAAATTTTATTGTAAAAATTTGAGCAAAATAAACTATAGTTATAATAATTCAAAGAGCCAATCCAATGGTGATTTTACGAGAAATTTTATTTTTAAAAATTATTTGAGGGGGAATATGAAATATCCTAGAATTTCTTAAGACATACTTACTAGGCAATTCGTTATTCTTTCACACAATCATTGATATCAGGAGCCTAATTTGAACCAATTTTACTGTTGCTTTATATTATCTTAAGTTTAAAACTTCCAAAAATACTTTATAAAGAGATAATTCTGGTGGTTTGGATGAAAATAAAAACAATGGAGCTTTTGTTGGTTGAAGTGTTCTTTCGTTCAGTAGACGGGAGAATTGGCTTCTAATGCTCATTGTGCTCGCGACGTTTTGGTGCGTTTGTGTGCGAGAACAATTGCTTTGGCATTAAATTATCCAAGTTTCCGGCTGCTCTCCGCAATTGTATTACGCGCTGCTGGAAATAAGATTGCGCTCATAAGGAACAGCGCGGATTTAATTCCTGCAGCAGCCTAAGTAAGTATCTCGCTCTTCTAGTTTGTGAATATTTTATTGCTCGCGCAGCGGCTCAGAAGCATAATTTGATTTCCGCTTTGCTCTCATCCGTCTCTCGCGAAACAAAACGTGTATTTAATCGCATTATGGAAAAGCATGGACGGCTGGTTTTTGTTGCAGTCCCCGGTGGATTCAGATTTGTATTAGCGGCAAAGCAGATTATTTTGCAGGCCACTACTACTTTTCCCGCCCCGGGGACCAAACTCTGTCACGCGGGCGCGTATGCCATATTTCGGCCGACCAGCAAAAAGTGTTCATATCGCACAAGTGAGACGCACAGACAATTCCCAAATGCTCCAAGATGAATCAACGCGACGATCTTGTTCCGAGCTGTTGGGCGAAAAAGTGAAAGAAGTGCAAAATGATGCCAAGAGAATTGTAAAAATGTGTTTGAAAACTACACTATAATGGTAGAAGAAAATTATTTCTCAAAATTTTAAACTCAATGATAAGGAATGAAGCTGATTCAATTGTTCTTTATTAAATAAACAAATTGGAATTATTTTTTTCTTTGAATTTTTGCCATTTTTAGACTTAACAAATTGTAGTATTAAAAAAAATAAGTAGTTTAAAAAATTTGAAACCCTTATTTGATATCGTTCAAAACCGATCTTTGTTTATTAAAAATTTCTGACAATAAAAAATAAGCAAATTATTTTGAAGTTGATAAAGTAATTCGAATAAAATGATATGTTATAGATGGAATCATGTTATTCCTCTGTATTGAATAAATATTATATAATATTTATATTCTTAGCTTTCATTTTAAATTTTTTCCTTCCATTTTGAACTGCTTTTGGCCCACTTGAAATTTTTCACCAAAAATTTTTATTATTGCGCATAATTATTAAATATTGGTATAAGAAACCACAGGTTAAATTGGGTTAAATGATTGTAGTTATTTAAATAATTTCTATAAATAATATCAACTTATTCAGCAACGCAACCCTGTCTAGTTTCTATTTACATCTAATTTTGTAAAAACAAATAAAGTGAAAAATAATTGATTATCTAGAAAATTAGCTTGTTAAAAATGGAAGTTGATAGTTTATTTTTTGCTATTTTTGTAAGAACCTTTGAGAATCTTTGGAATTTAATAAACTTATTTCGAAATTAGTGAGGAATAAATCAAAACATTTGTTTGTATCGAAATTATTTTTGCGATTTTTTCTTTATGATAACAATTTTCCCGAATGAGTAAAATCAAAATAACCAAACCGTTTCGAACGGAATAAGTTTTTTTGTTGCAAAATATTGCGAAAAAGTAATTTGGTGACCGCCACGAATTAACAAGTTTCGCATGACTAGCGCGATCGAGTTACAAAATTACCAATTTAGTCGCTGGCATGAGAGACGAGCAGAGTAAAAAAGCGAATGAAATTTGTACTTTTAGATACAAGAGTGCAAACATTTGGCGAAAACGCGTATGTGTGTAATTTTTGGACGTGGGTGGGCGAGTGGCGGCGGGATTGATGTTGGGGTGGCTGGCGAGCAAGCGAGGGTCGAATTTCGCCACACACGCGCGCGCGGGCTGGATGCTGCTGCTGGTGTATCATAATAATGGGATTCTAATAAAATTACAAAGCACACGATGCCAAGCGCCGTTGCCAGCACGAAAAAGCTACAGAATTTGTGATTCAATTATTTGTGTGCCTCTCTCGCTGTTTGCACGCATCGTCCTGTACCAAACGCAGGGAGCAGCAACCCGTTTATTATCGTCTTTTTCGTACTTGATAATGGAATAACCTTGTTTGAATCAGCGCACCGTGCAGGCGAGAGCGACCTTTGCACATTTCGCCCGGCTTTTTTGCATTTACTTTGTGATGCTCGCTTTGTTTGGCTACAAAATCAGCAGCACCAAATCCAATTTGCCAGCAGAGACGACGGTGATTCGCATTGGCAGCTTATAAAAAAAAAAAAAAAATGCACTCCAGGCACTAAACACACACTCTTTCGTAGGAGGCGATCGGCAAAAAGAAGCAACAGTCTTGAGTGCTGCCAAGATCAGGATTTCGCTCCGAGAGAGAAATCGTGTTTTAGAATTTTATGAGAGCATTTCTTGAGGGAATAAAGTCTTTGCAGTGGCTTGAATTCTTCTCAAGATGATTTTAAATCTTCGATCTAAAACCAAGCTTCAGTATGGATAAAAGCGATAAACGTATTTACTGGCATGGCATAGCTCATCATATTTTAACTGTTTCTTCCTGATTTCGATTTATTTTTATTTAGAATTCCTCAAAATTCCACTGCTGATTTATGCAAGCAGTAGATATTTATAAGAAGATATGATATAATTTATTCGGTGGAAAAAATGTAGCTAATTAAATATTCAGTTTTCTTCCATAGGCTTGACGTCAATTTTGCATAATACGTACGGAATGATCCAACTCAAACTATCATTATTTTATACTGAAAAAAGTTTTTTAGATTTGCTGAGACAGCCAATCAATTGGAATTTAATTTTGACCTGAAATTGAAATTTTATCAAAATTTACGCAGCGGTTTCCAAATTATTAAGAAGTAACCGACGAATGCCATCTAAAACTGCCGAAAAGGCCAAATAGTCATTATTAGAACGGATGCAGCTGCATATTTCAAAACTGCTGCATATAGTCACTAAAAGTTTGTATTTTTTAATTTTTGTTACATTTAAAGAATTAAAGTATAAAACCAAATTCATGAAAAAAGTAATAACTCCGCTCCAAATATTGATACTTCAAAAAAATTTCAATGAATCGAGCTGCTGCAGTCAAGCGAGAGAAGCAGAGGCGGGCGCGTATTTATGCTTATTTCGCGACAACGGCTGATCGGATCACAAAATAAACAGCACCACGAGCCAAAAATCTAAAACAATAAAAAAATCCCAGTCCTTTCACTCCAATTTCAACTTCTGTTGCCGCCCCTCTCTTGAAAAACAAATGAAAAGTGCGCCATATTCGGACCATATGACCAGTACCAGCTGGAGTTTCATCATGCACTCTGCATGGTAGTTTTCGTTATGCATGCTGATTTTGGCCCAAAATCGTGGCCGAAAGTGCCGAAGCGACGACCACCACAAGAAAGGACATCGCCGGCTGGTCAGCTAGGCCAAGATTCGACGCGTTGCCGACGCCAGGTGTGTATAATTGTTCAGTTTGCTCGTTTTCCGTTTCTCTCGCCGAATTGGCTTAATTGACGAGCTTAAGCTTGTCTGTTAAAGCCTCTTTTTTCAGTTATCACTGTGGCAATTACTGCCCTTGTGTTGGAAATTAATTATAACAGGTAATAGGAGGAGAAATTTGAGGATTCAAAATTTCTATGATAATTGATTAACCATTCGGTTTCTTCTGGGTTTCATTGAATTCCGCTTAATTAACTGCATAACTTGGGATCTTATATTATTTAAACTGAAAAAATAATTTAATTAATTAAGACACTTTTAAATTTAATAAGGCTACAATTCCGGCTATGCAGTCTGGTGTTTTCTGCGGTTTCCATCAGACATTCCAGGCGAATGCCGGCAAGATTCATTCATAGGCCTCAGTCGCTCACCTTCCGCAACCTTGAAATTCCCAACAACCAAACCTCATCCAATCTTCTTTCTCCTCGGCCCACTGTAATAATCTTAAAAGGGAAATAAAAATTTTCATTTTGTGTTTATAAAAATAAAAAGTAGAGATTTTAAAAAATTAAATAAACAAAAGATCAAAAAAGTTGCAGTTGTACATGAATGATAAAAAAGCAAATTGTAAACTTTCTCCAATTTACTTTAAATTTACACTTAAATTTTATAATTATGAAAAGGCTGAACGGTTTACAATGTGTTTTAATTATAAAGTCAGTTTTAAATCTATTCTTGTTCCAAAATTTGGTATTTAAATTTTTTTGCCATTCATAAAACTCTCAATTTAATTTCAGTCTTTAAAGCAGTTTTGAGTAAAAAAAAACAATCGTCATAGCACCGTTTCGCAACTTTCATTCACACTTTCAATCTACAAAAAATGGCGTGCTGGAGAGTGTTTTTTCCCACTGTGGTTGTGAAAATTTCCATGTCTGGCTAGTTATTATTCCAATTCGATTTTGTTCACCGCCCCGGAAAGGACGCGCCAATTAATAAAATGCCAATAGAGCAGGCCAATTATGGAGGCGGCGGGTGTGTCGCAAGGCTAGGAGTGAATTTTTCCGCCCTACTTGCTGCACTGGGTTGATTAGGGCAAACAAAGGCACTTGAGCGCGCGCGCCTCCCGCCGCTGCTTTTTTTTACACAAACACCAAATTGAATAATAACGACGATAAGATTGTTAGTCGCCGCCGCCGCCTCGGGTGAATCTGAAAAAGCTGAAAAAAGCAACAACGCGGTTTTGCACGAAGGAGGCTTTTGAGTTTTTACAATATACACACGCCGGCACTCATAAAAAATACATTTCATTAAGGGGTGTTTTACTCTGCTCGGGGAGAGAAAAAGCAACAACTAAATTTGTTATCTGGCACGTAAAGAGGAAAAAATGAAGTCGAATTTATTCTCGCCGCGCCTTTTGCTCTCATCTCCGTGTGCATCCTCCTTTATTCAGAAACTGGTGCTGGGTTTTTATCCTTGACACTTTTTTAAGGGCCCGCTATAAATTTGGTGCCGGCGAAAAAACCGCGAGCATAAAGTGGATTTTTCCGCGTGTAATGCACCGGGCGGGAGAGCGGGCGAGAGAGATGAGATTTTGACTTGCTTTTGCCGCCAAAATTGATTACTCTTTGAACGGCACTCAGAAAGAAAACGCGCCCCAGAGATAAAACCTTGTACTTTTGCATCTACCAGAACTCAATTTTTAAACCGAATGAAAAAGACGTCCCTTTAGAATTCTAAGCATTTCTCAATTAATTATTCATATTTTGAAGTGAATGTTTTATAAACGACCTTAAACCTGGGAAAAATACAAAATTAGCCAAGGAATCGAATTGATCTAAAAATGTATTTCTCGCAGGGAGTTTTGTTAGATATGTATTTATATAAATTTAATATTATTGTTGTTTATTTGACCATATTGCTACAAATACATTGTTTTCATTTGATTGCTGAAAACAATTTATTTGAAAAAAAGGAATTGTTGTGCAAAACGGCACCACCAAAAGCAAGAATGTTGCTAAAACTTCCAAGATAAAAAAAGACCCCATCCGCCGCTCGGTTGACTAATTGTTGAGTTTTTTAGCTTCTCGCTTACATATCAAAAATTTTTCCTTGCAGAGGGTGGGAAACTGATCCACGGGGCAGGTTTTCAGAGCGTACAGAAGGTCATTCCAGGGCCCATTGATGAAAGGAAGATTGGTGTTTTTATGATTTTGCAAAAGAGTATCATTAAGAAATTTGAAATGGCTGGCAATTTTTGAGTTTTTAAAATTATCCGCTTTAAATCTGGAAATTATAATAAAAAGAAGAACCTCACGTTATAGCATAATAAGTATAATTATACTCGAATGTCCAAAATTTTTTTCTTTTGTCATTTGCAAACTGCTTGTGATTTGTTTATTTTCAAAAATAGCCGTTAAAATTTTCTAAAAGTATTCAAAATTCAACTATAATATAAGAATTTACAGAAATCAGAGCGTTGACATTTTTCTTTTAACGATTATATAAATTATCAAATTTTGATATAAAATAAAAAGAAATTCCTGATATTTGAATTGAAATTCGCCTTTTTCACCAAAAAGATTTTGTTTATAGAAAAAACTGATACACATAATATATCAGTTTTTTTTTTCAATAAACAACTAAAAAAGCCACCGAGGAAAATCTGAACCATGAAAATATCTCGAATCGTGAATTTTTTTTAAAAATTTAAACAAGCAAAATCAAGTGAACTTTTAATCACTTTATCTTTGACTATATTTCTCGTATAGAAATCGAATTCCACCATTTTAATCAAAATGAAATGAAGTGTGATAACAATTGTGAAAAGGTTAATTATTGTGCGAGAGCGGAATGAAAAAGTAAATTCCGTTGATATTAAAATTTGCGATTCCGTGTGCGGAGGGCCCGGCGTTAATTACAAAGTTTTAATTATTCCATACAAACGACAAGAATAATAATAGTAAAGCGTCAACAGTCGTGCCCGAAAGTGCCCTCTATTACTGCGCCGTTGTTCCCTGCGGGGGCGCAGCTTTTGGGGTGCGTCGGCTGGCCAGACCAAGTTATTCCGCAGGGCGGCTTCGATTTGAGTAGGCACGTTTGCGCGTGTTGTGCCGAGCCGCAGCGAGGGACAATAACAACGCCTGCGGCCCTCTGTATATCTTTGCATCACAATAACACACACATACAACCCAGTGTCAGAGTCAAGAGTGGTGAAAAAGAATGCCGTGTCGGTTTTGTTATGAGCCGCAGCCTCTCTGCCACCCCCTTAAAATCTCGCTTTGTGCGCTTGGCCTGCCCGTATCGTTGGCTGCGCCGCAGCTACTTTTTCATTTTCCAAACTGCCAGATGATGATACATGTACCAATTTTGATTCACCTCTCATACACCCTCTCGGTTCGCAGCTGCCAAAAGAGCACACGCGAGCGAGCGAGAGAGGCAGCCCATGTTTATTTCCATCCCTCACATTCACTCGCTTTTCCTCAAACATTAGTCGAGTGGCACTGATTTTTCGTAAGTGCATCAACCAGAATTTTCAGTCAGACCAAGTTAGACTTTATGAATTATTAATTTTGGCCAAGACGCTGTTTGTTTTCAAATCGAAGATTTTTAATGCTTTAAAGAAAAAATTTAATAAAACTAATTTCTTAATAGTAAAATTTCAGTAAAAAAAAGAGCAGATGATATTTTTATGTTTTGTCCCCTTTAACATTATCAATATTCGTATTTTTCTTTAAATTAATGTTCAAAGTGGAAATTTACAAAACATATACATATACAATAGTAGTCGACTGACCTTGTATGCTCTAAGACGATTAGTCCTTAAACTGAGCCTTGATGTTCATTGGAAGAAGAGGATTTCCTTGAATTATTCCTCAGTTTCCTCTTTATTCAGTATAATTATATGCAAGTCTCTCATTCCCTATGGTCAGTTTTAAGGTGGAGATCCCTTCGGGCTCCTTTATTGATCAAATTTGAGCAAATTTTAATGAACTGCCCGCGCGAATAATGAGTACACAAAAATTGTGACTGCAAGGAGAAAAGTCATCTGGACCATAACGCCCCTCTTCTCAAATTGCTGGCTGTAGGTTTTCTCTTGCGATCGGTTTACCTCCTCCTCCTCCCCCAAGGTATGTTGCGTTCTTATAACATTGTTTTCAGAATCTCCACATCTTTTGCCACACCGCACTTCTCAGGATCAAGAAGTGAAAGAAGAGGACATAGTATATTTATTTATGATTCTCAGAAGGTGCAATCGTTGAGCAATATTTTTATTGTAATGGGATATTATCTTCAATATTATTTTTCCTTTGGGAATTGTTTAACGTAATATTAAGTTTTAGAGGGTCAAAATTTTTCATGAATTTCACCTTGTTTATTTTAAGTAGTACTTTCCTTCGATTGATCCAGGGTTGATCAGGGAAAAATGTGCTTTTTTAAATATTAGGAAAGATAAGAAACAAATTTAGTTTGCCAAAATGAAAGTTAATGTAATACCTTTTTAAATATAAAAAAATATTTAAAGCGGATTAAAACTGAACGAAATGTGGTTTGCCCGTCGCAGATTAAGCCGCTTTTTTTAAATATTTTTTTACCCAACTTTATATAACACATAATATCATAGAGGAAAATGTTCTCCATATAAATTGGCGATCGGACAATGGCACGCTTGCTTTCCTTGTGGGTCCTAAATAGAAAAATAAAATTCGAAAACTGGGCGCACCAACAAAAGAAGCAATAAAAGGCGAATCAGAAGTGCGGGTCTTTATGGTGCGCGGGTCGGCGGGTGCGCTCGTAAAGCGGAAGGGCGAGCCGCAGTGGTTATGCAACCTGGCGGACAGACGCGTCGGACGGGAAGAGAGGCGCGGAAAAAACAGGCGCTCTCTTTGCGACGAGACGACGACGCTTAATGACGAAATTAGCCGTCGCAAAACGAAACGAGCGGGATTTCGGCGGTGCCTAATCTGGGCAGGCGCATGCATATTCTTTATTGTTATGTGCGTTGCCGCTGACTTGCC